GGAGGCCATGGGAGATACCCGTCGGTATCACCCCAATGCCATCTTCATCCAGCTGCGGAGGCCATTTTTGGTACGAAAATGGCCTCTTACGTCCACGCGAGCTGGAGCCGAAGACGTCCTCGCAGGCATGATGAAGGCGTTGATTACCCTTTTTTGGTGGGAAATGGGTCAATTACACGCACGCCCTCTAGTACCGGTTATGAAGTTGTGAACCTGGTGTTAACGTGTTAGTACTGTTGCGGATGTAGAAGTACTTTCGGAAACCAAAGAGGTGATAGAGGATATGAATTGTTTACTAACGGGTGCGTCTATATAATTGATGGTGTTGATTTGTATATTTTGGCGTGTTTTGGCGTGTTTTTGGTGGTGAAAATACTTTGAGAGTCGATTTGGGGCGTTTGGAGGCGTTGATATGGCGTGAAAGGTATGCTTGACCTCGTGTATCGAATAAAGAGGAACATTGGCGGGCTCTATTAAACCTCACCATCATCTCTATCCTCGATACACCAGGCTGTGCCTCCAGCCGTCTTTTAGGATCAATATTCTCCGCAGTGTCACAAACTATGGCGCTGTTGTAGGCGGTCCAGCAGAGGCTGATCAACAGCTGGAGGCCGTGGTGTTAACACCGACTCGATATTGATGTTAACACCAGCGCAACAACGCCTTTATTTCTCTCTTCTTCGGTTGGTGTTGTAACTTCTCCGGTGTTGAAGTTACAGCCATTGATACAGCAGTCTCCATAGCTGTCCATTCCGACGAGGGAGTATTGAAGAGATCCCTCTCGTCTTTCGTCTCTCCGCTGGTGTTGTAACTACTCCAGTGTTGAAGTTACAGCCATCGGTGTTAACGGCCTCTGTAGTTGTTCATTCCAATCGAAAGGGGCACGAGCTCTTGTAGAGCTCTGTCAGCTCTGTCCTCCACCCACAGGCCCACCCAGACGTGAGCTAGAGCTTCAGCAGGTGGTGTTAACATCACCACGGAAATGGTGTAAATACCAAGGCCTCTGTAAGCCCCGTCTCCGCTGGTGTTATCACCAGCCCGATTAGACGAGGCTCATTCAGTGACGCTGTAATATTTGTTCTGTATCCTCAAGCCAAGCTGACTGAGCGTTGTAAGTGGGCTACGTTTTCAACATCTTCAACACCTTCAACAACTCCCATGTTGAATGCCTGAAGCCTGTAGGCCCGAACAAAGAGTGTTCTCATTGCGGACCCGGACGTCTTTGGCCCAGCAGAGCATGGGTGGAGGTGTAGCCTTGATATCACGCGAGTATTCGCAATCAGTGTTTCCCGTGGTGTTGAGGCCACTGATCGCGTACTGATGGGATATCGGGGATGAATATAGCGCCAATAGCTGATTCACCATTCATCCCCGCCCTTTTGTATATCATGTCGATCTTCGATCTGCTACAAAACTCAAGAGTGTCGAGTTGTAGCAATAAATAGTCCTTTGTTGAACCAACACAAGTCGAAATAGACGGGTGTTGAGAAGGTTCGTTCGCAGTCCAATGCTTTATCAGTAAACGAGCGTACCCGGTGTAGCTACAAATTTTCAACAGAGTTGTGTAGCTTGCCAATGGGGCCAAGATGTCTGATATTCTCGTCTGATTCGTCCGCAATGCTCGCTTGAACGACAGTCGCGAGCGTCGCTGCGAGCACGCGGGCGAGTATAGCAGGCGGAGCAGGCGGAGCAGGCGGGTGAGGCACCTGCACCAGTCCCTGCAGCCTGAAGGTGTGGTGCGAATCAAAGCTCGTAGCTACGATATCGTGCCAGAAAGTGTCCTCTGGCAAGCGTGTAAGCGGTATTATGAGCAGTCCAGTTCCACTTTGTAAAAAGGCCGGGGCAAGGCAGCACTTGATAATATGGCCAGCACAACGTAGGTCAGGTTTTAGTTGGACCCACGGCGCTGTTGGAGGCGTTATCAACCATAACGTAGCCGATTCGATCCTTGCGGAGGAGCCAGCGGAGGGACTTATAGCGGTCACTTGGAAAGTGACAAACTCCAATCGCCTTTTTGGCCCTCTCAAGCTCCTTACAGGACCGCCGGCAGGACCGTTTGTAAATCCTGCGCCCCTTTGAAAGTCGTTCTTGGCGTGCAGACTTCGGCGGGATTCGACTTGAAGAAACTTGTGGACCTGATAGGCGTCTAATCGGTCATAGCTCTGGCTCTTCTGGGTCTGCAAGGGTGGGCGAGCAAGCCAAGGCGGATAAATGGCCAGGAAATGAAAATATATTTGATATTATAAATTTGTCGCGCTACTTCCGTTGTAACAGGTTGTAGGACGTTGCTTGACAGTGATGTGTTGGGTTGAAAGGTCGCGGTAGATATTGACGTGCTTTTAAAACGTAGCATTAGTAGCGAGACACTAGGCGTTTTGCGGAAGAGTTTCCAGGCCTTACCGTCCGCCCGTTTTGGCGCTCAATATAGATTAGTAGCATGCGGCTTAAAAGTTTATTTGACATCTCGAACCACAACACCATGATGTCCCAAAGTAAATTTTTTTGAAAAATTTAAGCAATTAGAAGAGCCACATGGACGGTATTTTCTAAGAATATGCGAACATAAGGTCGTGGTAAAGTGAATCAACGTTGTCCCCACATAAGAGCGCCGAGTATGGATTGAGAAGTCACGTTTATAGGCATTAACACCAAAAAGTATCGCATGACTTCAAAATACAAAATACAAAATGTATTAGTATTTGTCTCAAGGTTAGCTACTAGCAATACATTTTCCCGGAGGACCATTTGTTTTCAGTATAATGCTTCCAAATGCAAAAGAGCACGTGATCCGTGTAACACAACAGTGAGTTGTATGTGGTCGGATAGCTTGCTTGCTAAACTAGAAATACCAATTCCGTGTACCTTGCATCCTAGCTTCTGTTATGGTCGTAGCGGCATGTGGTGGGTTTCCGTTCAAATCAATAAATTATGCAGCTCGACCTTGAAAGCCACACTCAATGACAATTTATTGTCCACCATTGCCGCCAACCGCTTGCAATTTAGTTTCGCGAAAACACGGCCCGCCAGCTCCTCGATGGTTCCTGTTCAGCCCTTCACAAAAACGTAGGGAACCTTTGAATACGGGATAGATATCAGATCATTATCTTATAAGCAAGACGGGCTTCTTGCTGGTCCGAGGTGTCTTGCTTCAGTACACCTAAAACTACGCAACGCCAACAACAAGCGCAGAGAATAAAGTCAAAATGAGAAACATGTTTACCCGAAGCTACTCAAACTGGCAACTTTCATGCGAACAACGCGGAGGTTCGACGTATATGGTCCGATTCGCCCGCCGGATAACGCGCGCCAGTGTTGCCCGGCGGAACATGGGGCACCCATGATGAGCAAGTCAGACACAACGAAGTATGTTCAGTCCTTGCGTGCTGTGCCTCCGGAAGACGGCGGAAATATGTTGACCGGATAAAGTGTCGGGGCGGGGTTCGGGTTCGGGTCATTTCCGAGCGAATCCCCACAATCGGCGTTTGCATCTTCCCCAGATTCTCCACACTCCACTCCCTCGTGAATCTCGATTGTACCCCAGACCGGGTTTTTGGAAACACATAAATGGATCCCCGTCTGCAGGCGTCCCTGGCCATGCGTCTTTCCCATGGCCGGCTTCGCTCTCGGTCGGGTGCTCTGCTCCCTTCTCTTCCTCTTCAGCGGAATCGTCTTCGCTGTCCTCAATGTCAATGAAACGACCTCGCAGATCATCTTGGAAAACGACCGCCTTCATGTCGCCCTGAATAAGTCCACTGCGGTCATTGACGGCCTCACACTTGACCACCAAGACCTCCTCGGAGCTTTAAGCTATGAGAAGCCTACGCCTGGCGGAGCGACCGGCAGCGGAAACAGCGGCATCGGGCCTTACCTAGACTGCTACTGCACTCCGCAAGGATTCTACACACCTGGAACCATCGCTCCGGAGTTCCGCATCTTCAAAGGTACCGATTCGGACAAAGCGCAGTACGCCGGTGTGGTGATGAGCGAAACGTATCCGGCGACAGGCCAGCTCCTCGAGTTCTACTACTTCATCCGTGAGGGAGAGACCGGGCTTCATACGTTCAGTCGCTTAGCCTACTACAACGAGACGACGCCCTTCTTGCGAAACCTGCAGGAGTTCCGCACTCTCTTCCGCCCGAACACGCCAATCTGGACGCATCTTTCGACAAACGACAAGACGTATGCTCCTATGCCCTCAAAAGATGCGACCGCCTATCAGATCACCGTGCAGGACGCCACATGGTACCTGGCAAACACCACTCAAGACCCCTACGTCGAACAAATGGCCGATTACTTCACAAAGTACACATTTCAAGACGAGTGGAGAGAGCACAAGGTTCATGGGATGTACTCTGATGGCACGACCAGCCCCGGAAACCTCACGTACGGCGCCTGGGTGGTCCTAAACACGGTGGATACGTACTTCAACGGGCCTACCAACTCCGATCTCATGGTGGACGGCATCGTGTACAACTACATTGTTTCGAACCACCATGGCAACGGTACTCCGAACATCACGCACGGCTTTGACCGCACTTTTGGTCCCACTTACTACCACTTCAACAGCGGAACGCCAGGGACGTCTTTGGCGAAGCTTCGTCAAGACGCTGCCCGGTATGCGGACCCGCAGTGGAACGTTAGGTTCTACGACGAGATCGCCAAACACGTTCCAAAGTACGTTCCGACTGGCGGACGAGGCCTTTGGAGAGGCGCCATCACACTACCTAAGACGTCGAACTGGAGCCGGCCCATCGCAGTGTTGACCAAAGAGGGCCTTGATTTCCAAGACAACGCGCAAGACAACAAAGCGTACCAATACTGGGCGGAGCTGAAGGCCGTCGGAGACTCAAACGTTGCGGTGGCCGAGATCCCGCGCGTCAAGGCAGGGAGATACCGGCTCACAGTCTACGCGGACGGTCTTTTCGGGCAATACGAGCAGGACGGAATCGTCGTGAAGCCTGGCAAGGCGACAGCCACCGAGGCCGAGTTCAGCGAAGAGAGCGCAGGCAAGGAGCTCTGGCGCATCGGCACGCCCGACCGCAGCAGCGGCGAGTACCGGCATGGCGTCGAGCCCGACCCCACGCACCCCCTCCACCCCGAACAATACCGCATCTACTGGGCCGTCTACGACTTCCCCACCGAGTTCCCCAGCGGCGTACGCTTCCGCGTTGGCGAGAGCAAGGAGGCCGTCGACTTCAACTACGTGCACTGGAGCTCGTTCGGCGGGAAGGGCAACTCCATCCGCTCGACGCCGTTCGTCTCGCCCACTGTCAACAACTGGACAATCGCGTTCGATGCCGCGCCGGCAGAACTGCTCCGCAGCACCAGCAACGGCACAAATGAAGCGACGTTCACGGTGCAGCTTGCGGGCGCCAAAACAGCGGCCGGGAACACAGACGCCTACAACGCCACGGAGCCGTACTCGAACCTGCCGTACGTGGTGACGGTGAACGGGCACGAACTGGAGCCCTGGGTGATTCCGTAAGACCTCTCTTCTGACTTCCTCACTCGAGTTCGAGCCGTTAAGCTGACGCAAATGCCGCAGGTACTACCACTCGAGTTCGTGCGCTGTCCGCTCGGCCGTGAGCTGCTACAACATCGCGCACAAGTTCGTCTTCCCGAGCAGCTGGCTCAAGGCCGCGGATAATGAGATTGTGCTGCGCTTGCCCGCGGACGCGATGGATTATGAGTCGGCGCAGCTGCCGCAACAGGTTTATGTGCAGTATGATGCGCTGCGGCTAGAGGTGCGGTGAAAAAGGATGGGCGGTGGGTTGAGGTTATGGTTGCTGTGGGTGCGCGTTGAGAGGCTTCGGGTTATGCTCTTTTCCATCGGCATGGGTGTATAAATTACTTTTGTGCCCTTCCACTTTTGAATTCCCGTGCCCTCAAGAGAGGGCTTTGCATGCTTATATCTTCTCACTTTCGTAGATAACAACACCTACCCACCCACGTTAAAAAGATTAACACGGCCCAGCTCCTAACCCATCCACACTCACACCAACGGCGAACCCGTATTTTCCTCAGAGGAAATAGAGCGGCCTTTTCGATTCGCCCCGAATCAATCTAAGCCGACCGCCCAACGTAAGATGTATGTAGGCCAAGGTGGACAAGACTCATCCAAGCAGAGAAGTCGTTTGCAGGCGCAGGTTTCTTCCTCTTCGCCACGCTTCCAACTGGCGAAAGCCGAAGGTGTGATCGATTGGTAGTGTGGGGATACTGCAGCGGCACGACCGGAACCCGCTCCCGTGCGGAAGCGCTTACGTGTCCGAGGAGCTGGGGGTAAGACTTTCGCCTTGAAGCGAAGATGGAATCCACCACAAAGACGACGCGCTCTGCTACCGGGAGCCGAAGGAAGAGAGTGGTGCCGGCTGTCCATGGCGGAGCAAAGAATTCCGTGTTTTGTCAGACTTCGGCGTTGGAAGGTGGCCGTGAAGTCCCTCGTGGTCATCGACTTCCAGAAAATCGCGACCAAGAAGATGTAACCGGCCGCTCGACGCCGTGATATTGTTGAATGCTCTCTGCCCCGAAATTGTCTACGTCCCGCTCCTTCCGGCACTGGGAATGCCACCTACTGAACAGACATCCGCCGCTTAGGTGATTGTTGCCATATTTCCATTGGGATGGGTCTTGATGCTTATCAAGGTAGGAAGGCCTGTAGATGCGGGAGAAGTGCCTGCTTGGTGAGGCCGACTGGGGGAGGCATTAAGCTTGCGGCGGCGGGAGTGATGCGTTGGGTGCGGGACGCGCCGCGGTCGTGTTGCTGGGCTGAGGTCACGTGCGCGGTGTCTGCGCGGAGCGATGAGGCTGAGATAGTGTGCGCGTGCGTTGAGTTGAGACGATGGAGTCGGAAGATCTGATGCTGATCGCGTCAAGCAGCCGAATGCTTGGATATGTTTTCTCGTAAGTTTTGAGTATGCCGCTGGTCTTTTTCCGCTCTAAGCGCTGCTGAAATGGAAGTCCATGACGAGACTCAGATATTCCTCCTGCTGCTGTAGGATCCTTATTCAGCGCAGTTTGGAGCAACCTCCGTCCGGATGGCGCTTGATTTCCCCACAGCTCAGTGGCTTTATAACGATACACTAAGCTTGCTTTGTGAGGGGACCCGCAGGAGCTCTGACCCTGCATTGCCAGCCGGGACGGCTACCCAAAAAGCAAGCTGGCCCGGACAATGCAAATAGCCTTCTGCTTCATAAACGCATTGCTTGCAGTAGCCGCATCATCCAACGCTGCTTCCGCAAGCACAACCAAATCCCTCTGCAACACAATGTCCGCGGCATCGTATACACCATTGATCCAGGAGACGACGTGTTCGGTATCCGCGCTGAAGTCGCAGGGAGCGGGGGAGCAGGGAGCAGGCGGTTCCTGAGAACTGTGAGAAGCTGCAACGTTCTCCTTGGCGACGAACATGACGAGCCGTGTGGTGGCCTGAGAACGGAGAACGGCGAAACGCGTGGAGTCAGAGGAGCGAGCGGCGGCACCGAGGGCCAGGAGGTCGGCGCGGAGGCATGTATGGGCGGTAGGGAGAATCTCCCATGCTGCGAGAAGCCATTGGACCATTCTGGCGAAGAGGTCGGTCTCTGTGGTGTCGGTACGTTGGGACAGATGGAGATGGTCGTGTGCTTGGGGCGCTGTTGATGGGATGGGGATGGGTTGGCGAGTTTCGTTTTCGTGAGTGCGTTCAGGTCCCCCAAGATGAGCTGGCGCAGTCGATGTAGCGGCCGCGGATTCTTCGGTATTCCAGCCACGCTTGCGTTTCCTGTTGTTCTCCGGCGGAGTCTCAGGTGCTATGCACTGTTCGTCAAACAATCCTTGTGGCATGGGTGATTCCTTCTCGCTGCCACTGTAAGGAACGAGTATCTCTGGAGGCCGCGATTCCAGATGGTCATATGCTGGTAACGAAACACCTTCACGTTCCGGGACCAGAGGGTTGAGCCCAGACTTAGCTTGGTCCACGGGCTCTATGCCGAATTGGTCCCATGCGTTCAGCGTTCCGGGCCTGCCATACATCGACCTCAAATCGAGTTCCGGCGTGGCCAGGGTACATGAACTCATCTTCTCAGCGATGCGAATAAGTTGGACTTGAGCATGGGTGCTGAAATTTAGGATTATTTCAAAAGTGTTTACACTGGAAAGGGCTTGAAGATCCTTGAGAAGTTGTAGTGGGGTGCCTCGCACGTCGGCTTTGAGCTTTCCCTGGGGCATAACGGTGTAGCCAAGCTGTTTCATCTTCCACTGCCCGCGAAGGACATTCTGCGGGCCATTGATAGCGGACTGCACCAGACCAGCTTTGGTAAGCTCGCTGTCCGACAATGATTTGACAGGAGTGACTTCCACGGACAGCTGTGAAAATTCGGCAGGAAGTACGAGGTAGATATCCTTGGGCTTTGTTGAAGACGATGGGCGAAACTTGATAGGAAGGTGGAAGGCAATCAGAAGTTTCCCGTTGTTTGCAGGATCGAAGCCGATTCTCATTGTGAAGTTAACGCCACTCTGTCGGCCGGACAAGGACCCCAGGTATCGATCATGGCCCGCGGCGTTGTCCTCCCACACAGCCATGACCGGTTCGGTAGTTACCCATTCTGGATCGAAATTGACACCGCGTAGTTTGCCTACAGAGTCCTCCATGGTGACACGACGTACAGTACAATCAAGCCTAGCCCAAAAAGATTGTGCTGATCAGTAATCTCAAATTGTTAAAAAGTATTCATCGCTATATGAGACTAGACTTTGCGTAGCCGTTTGCAAACCTTTAATGTCGCAAGTGGAGGCAATTATGAAAGGCCAAGGACGGGATCGGACTGTGAAATGCGGATCGCAAGGGAACAAGAACAAGAACCCCAGCACAACTGCTGGATCACCCGCCCACCCAGGCTTTCGGAAAAGAAGAGCAGCCTTGACTCAGCACTGAAAGGGCAAGTCGCATCAAGCAACGCGACAGTCCTCGTCGCGCACGAATCGGACACGCGACCGGGACAGCTGATGCTGCCACACAGACCGGACAGATTGGCGCGAGGAGGCGACGCAGTGTGATGCGAAATGACCGGGACTCCGTAGTTACAGAGGCAGAGGGGAATGTGGTTTACGGTGGCCGACGGATGGATTGGATGGTTGGTGTTGGTGGTTGGTGGTCACCTCCGCAGAGATCGCGTCAGTTGTCGCGGGCCTTCCCGCCCGCCCGCCAAGCAAAGGCACGTGATGTCCCGACGCGTCTTCCGCGCACCGCGCTGCGGGACGCGACATCTGAAGCGACCAACAACAGATTGCCAACCACGCATCCCGACGGCCATTGAGGCTTTACCCTCGTGAGTGAATCACCCAATCTTACACCTCGGGGTCAAGCATGACTGACTTTTACTTCATCCAAAGATGCTTGCCTGAGAACCTCTGGCCGGGCCCCGCCGCATACCGACCGCACCACGCAAGCTCAGCTGCCTCCACGCATACGGTCACTAGCCGCAAGTTAGCTCTCCCCATCCATTGCCTCTCGCCGTCATCGGTTGCAAGTTCCACCGCCGCGCATCGCCCTCTCGCAATTCTCTCGCAATTCTCTCACCACGCCCTTCACCCCCTCACGGCCGGTCGCACAATCCAATGCGCAGCTGCCCTTCCCGCGGCCAAGTCTGGTTGTAACCCTTCTAGCTTTGTTCCGTAAAGGTGTACAGACAGGAACGTTGAGCCTAGCTGGATCTTCCCACATAACGCCTTTCTGCCAGTCGGAAGTTACTGACCAGCTCAAGTGTAACCAGTCTTGATCGAACAAACGATGTCGAAAACAATTCTTGCATATTTCTCGCCGCGGACACGGGCACAGACATCTGGGACAGGGGAACAAGCTGCAGGCGTGGATAATGTCCGTCACGTCAATGATGCTGCCGAGCCGCAACGGAAGTCGTCACGTAAAAGGCGCTCGCCTTCTGGAGAGGTAGAGGATCGTCCTCGGAAATTTGTTCGCAGGTTCAAGCACGTTGAGAGTATGTTCCCTTATGCACAACAACTCGGCTAGTCATTGACGCCTTCATAGTCGCGATCAAAAGTGCGAACAGCACTGTTGACACACAACCTGAAAACAACTCGCTGCCCACTCCTCCCGAGAGCGTCACCGCCCGGCCCCAGCGCCGGCCACGAGTTTCAAATTCACCCAAGCAAGCAGTGCCCACCCGATCACGGCGGGCGAAGCAAATCAACTACGCAGAATCGTCTCCTCCATCAGACAGTGGCGAAGGTGACGACGCTGCCGAGGAATTCGACGAATATCTGTCTGAAGGAAACCAGGATGAGGACAACTACGACGAAGACGTGGAGTCGGCTGAAGAGTTGATACTTGAAAGTGAGAGGTCATCAGCCGAAGAGGAAAGCGATGTCGGCATGGATGTCGATATGGATGCTGAGGTCGTCAGCAAGGTAGGTCACTCAATGATTGTTTGATCTTGACGTCGCTGACATTTTTACAAGCCTGCGAAGCGAAACCAGTCTAAACGAGTCAAAATCCCACGCGATGGCACCGACCATAAAGGATTAGATCTGAACAGACCCCCATTGTCAGACCTGAACAGCATCTTCACAGAGATCACTAGCAGGGCTCTGAGCGAGGGACTTGGGAACACTTTGGAGATTCTCGATGGAAGGGAGTTACGTGTCGCGACGATGTGCTCAGGCACCGAGAGCCCTCTCCTCGCCTTGCAGCTGGTATCGGAAGCTCTCAAACGACTAGGAATCTCTACACCATTGCGGCTCAGACACCTCTTCAGCGCTGAGATTGTCCCCATCAAACAGGCCTTCATTGAACGAAACTACAGCCCGCCCATCATATTCCGTGATGTCCGGGAATTGGTTGAGCCTCAGGCTCAAACGCAAGGAGCAACAAACGTCTACGGCGCAAAGGTACAGGTTCCTGGAGACGTCGACTTACTGGTTGCTGGTTTCTCTTGTGTTGATTATTCGAACCTCAACCAAAAGAAGAAGGCTGCAGGTGAAAAGGGAGAGTCCAAAGACACATTCGAGGCTATTTGTGCGTACACACGTGCCTGGAAACCAAAAATTATTGTCTTGGAGAACCTGTACAGCGCTCCTTGGTCCTACATCAAGAGTTGCATGAAGGACGCTGGATATGTCACTGAGTTCACCCGCGTCGACACGAAAGACTACTACCTTCCCCAGACTCGTGCGCGGGGATATGCTGTCTGCCTCCTCAAGGAAGCACATCCACGAGCTGCAGCTGCAGTAGATAGATGGGTAGACCTGATGGACTGGTTTAAACGACGTGCCTCAGCTCCTGCTAGTGCCTTCCTTCTGCCCACGGACGATGAACGGGTGTACCAGTACAATGCGGAATTGGCCAGACAAATCCGCGATACAGCAAGAGACCGCACGGTCCAATGGGATGCTTGTCGTCTCCGTCACGAGAAGGTCAGGAACAAGGAGGAACTCGGAGACAAAAGACCGATCACAGAATGGGTCGATGGCGGCACCTGCGTCTCTTTCGAGCATGCTCACAAGCTCTGGCTTTCAAAACAAGTCGAGCGCGTTTGGGACGTAATCGACATCAGACACCTAAGAGCCGCAAGAGCCGGGTTTGATCCTTCCTTTAAGACAATGATCATGGAACTCTCGCAGAACATCGACAGAGGCGGTGAAACGGCCTTCGGCCTCTGCAGCTGCATCACGCCGTCCGGGATCTTTTTCATTTCTGACCGAGCATCTCCGTTAACTCCACACGAATTGCTGGCATTGCAAGGCATTCCAATCAACAAGGTTACGTTCACGGTGGAGACAGACCAGCAAATACAAGACCTTGCTGGCAATGCCATGAGCTGCACAGTTATTGGTATCGCGCAACTTTCGGCACTAATTGTAGCCGGAAGCATGCTACAGTCTGATTCGGCATGTCTGTCCGACGCTCAGCTCCTCGAAACTGAACAGCGCTGCAGAACCGAACGTCTCTGTGGAGTTGAACACCTCCGCAAAGCTATCGAGCAAGGTGTTTCTAGTTCGGGCAATCCGGACGACCTGGACTTTGCACGACTTTGTGCAGAAGCAGCTGAAAGCAGCCGTCGTTGCCGTTGCGAAGGCCAAACCACACTCACTAGGAACCGAATGTTCGCCTGCGATCACTGCGGTCATACTGTTTGTTCTGCATGTAGGAGCAGACCCTTACACAACTTTCGGATGACAGAGATTATGAAGCGGATGAACCCCGGGGAGTTTGAGCTTAGATGGAAGCCCGTCTTCCCCGTCTCCATCGAACTAGACAACCTTCCTGACCCCACCCAGTTCGGCTTGGAAGATCACTCTTTGACGCTAAAGCATTGGAAGAGAGCGGAGCATTGGACCGTCCGCTATGAATCCGCGACTGCAATCTTAGAACTTGTTCTTACCCAGCAGCCAGAATGGAAGCTGTACGCAAAGCCGCCCGCTAACTTGCCTGCAAATGATCCGGTGCGCATGCAACTCGAACAACCCGTCGCGCGGGCTTGGCTGTCGCCAGACTTCCTCACTTCGACTACAGCCGCAGACCGTAAGTGGTCAAAGAACTGGAAATGGTTTGTCCCATCCAAGCAAAAGTTTGAGGTTCAAATCGAATCCAGTCAAGAGATGGACCCGTCCTGGCGCGCAGAGTACGGGCTGAAAGGCTTTGAAGATGAGCAAATCCCAAAGCGTCTCACAGTTAGCGCGATTAAAGTTCCTGGAGACATTAAAGGGATCTATGAGCATCTGTCCAACTGTGGAACAGCATGTCGATCGTTGTATCGGAGGGTATCACGGTCAGACAAGCCGGAATCGGAGCTAGAGCCTTTATATCTGTTCTTAGACCCCACACGCCTCGGCCCAGTAAACCAAGACGCATTCGTATTCGCTCGCCACCATAGACAACTAGAATATGACGAAACGAGGGATGTTGTCGTCTCTCTGGACGCTGGTTGGCGGCCTTGGAGGCATGCTTGGGAATGGGACGGCGATAGAGCCGATTTGTCTACCTCAGGCTTTATACCAGGTACCTGGATGGATAGCGAGACTTCAATTCGCCAAAGAGAAGCTGATTTGCTGGTGAACAGTCCAGCAGGCAACCCAGCATGGAATGAGCCCGCTTATGTCGACAGCTGCTCCGATTACTTGGCTCTGCTTGACGCCAGGTTCCACGAAAGGGGAGATACCGGTAAGAATAGGACTTACAAGCTAAGCGATGAAAGCGGCAGGGCGATGTTCGACAGTTTCTCTTGGGTCTTGGAAAAAATCCGCCACATCCCATTTCTCGGTGACTGGAGGCCTTTGCAGACTTTGTCGGCAGGCGCATCTCGCTGTCAATGCTGCTCTCCCAACACTCCTTCAGTCCAATGGAGATACGAAATGATTGGCAAAAAGGCCATTTTGATCCCTCAAGAAGAACCGACCGAAGCCAGTGCCTTTGAAAAGGCAATCAAAAGCCGGCCGCACATCGTGGACATGGCAGCCACGGTTGATGAGTATAGTCAAGAGTGCCATTTGCAAGCAGGCATCAACATTCTATCTCTGGCACACCGCGCTCATGGAAGGCTTGTTCATGGTCAATCTGATAGCATGCCAGTCACTCTGTCCTGGAATTTAACCACAGAATTTGCACATGAGAGAGACCTGCAACTTCCTCCTTTCCGCTTGACAAACAACGCTCAGGACGCGCCACATTCCCAGCCTGAAGGTTTCGGGCTAACGCTTAATCCTGCGCAATGCCGCTCGTTGACGTGGCTTCGACAACAAGAACATGGTGTTCCTTTCACGGTTGAAGAAGTAGAAGAAGAAATTGTTGACTCTCTTCGATGGAAAGTGGAAGCCAAAGCGGAAACGGAGGTTGTAGTGAAAGGAGGCGTGATCGCCGATCAAGTCTCCTACGGCAAGACTATCATCACTCTGGCGTTGATACATTCTGCCTTCTTGAACCTCCAGCCTTCCGCTCCGTCAGTGGAATTGCCGTCGACCGCAGCGCCGACAACATTCACTGGGCGCAATGCAGGTCTGCTCAAATCGGAAGCGACTTTGATCGTTGTTCCCAATAACATCACCGGCCAGTGGAGAGACCAAGTGGACAACTGTCTGCCTGCACACCAGTATAAGCCATTTGTGCTGGTTATCGATACACCCAAAATCCTTCGCGATCTGAAGATCAAGGGCATCCTGAGAGCCAAGATCATCATTGTTCCATTCAGCTTGTTTGAGAAGGATGAATACGCAGAGCGCCTCGGGCAATTTGCAGCCATGCCCCAGAAGCCCAACGGTGATGGTCGCGCCTTCACGGATTGGTTTAAGTTCTCTCTCGGCCGCTTTCCTCAGAGGTTGAAAGACCTGAAGGGGCAGGGTGTAAAACTGTTTAATCATAACTTGCCATCCCAGTTGGAGGAGACCTTGAATGACCAGCGGTTCCAAGGCCAAATTCCGACTCAGAGATTAAAGGGCATCAAATACAAAGGCTTTGCGGAAGCAAATGGTCCCAAAACCATAAAATCCAAGCCTACGAAGGCTAAATCCACAACTAAGGCCTGTGCTGCACAAGATGATTGGGAAGACTTTGATTTCCCGGTTCTTCACCTCTTCAACTTCGATCGCTTGGTTGTCGATGAATTTACTTACCCAAAGTCGATGGGTTATACCTCGCTGATCAACCTTGCCGCCGACAAGCGCTGGGTACTTTCTGGAACCCCGCCTTTGGACGACTTTGCAGACATCAAGCGCATCGGCGCCTTCCTTGGCATCAACCTCGGCATTGACTGCGACGCTTATGGTGTGATCACTCGCAAGAATGCCAAAGAGATCTTGAAGGAACAAACAGCCTTTGAACAATTCCAAAACTTCCGCCAGAAACGGTCTTCTGTTTGGCACGAACGGAGGCATCAGCACGCACAACGGTTCCTCGACGTTTTCGCCCGTCAGAATTTTGCCAACCTCGACGTGGAGTGCGCAGAATTCCTCAGGCCGGTTCAGCTACACCTCGATCATCGTGCTCTGTACAAGGAACTTAATCAGCATTTGGCTGCCAGAGAGATGAGGATAACGCATCCGTCAAAATATGACTGCGGCGATCGGCTTGAGAACTTTAAGGCCTCCCTCCATCAGCAAGAAACTGCCGAAGAAGCTTTGTTGATGCGTGCCAATTTTAATCCACTCAGCGTGTCTAAGTCCGACCAATCTGCTTGCGTCGAGATGATTTATCGACGGGAGGCGGATCTGGACGCTGTGAAGAAAGAGCTCGAAGAACAACTTCTTTGTGCGGAAACCCTCAAGAGACAGTGTCTGTCAGGTGAGACAAAATACTCTGAATGGAGGCAGAGGAAGTTGGGTGAATGGACCGGCGACCCGAAGGTCGCGCATGATCTCAGAAAGATGATAGCCAACGCGACCGAGCAGGTGAAGGACAAACCCAAGATGAGGCATGTGAGTCCGGCACATGCACAAGAAGAGCTGAGAAAGCTTGTTTCATTCAAGATTTCCACGCTGGAAAGGCGATTTGTGGCCTTGAGGCGTGCATTGCGCTATGCACGTCATCTCAAGAAAATTCACCAAGAAGCGAATGAGGAGAGCACCATTGTTTGCGAGGGCTGTTCGAGCGTGGCGCAAGCGGTAGGCTCGGCCGTGTTTGTCGGTTGTGGACATGTTGCTTGCGAAGGCTGCGTGTCAACCAGTCTCAGCACGGGCATGTGCCAGGTCAGCGGCTGCAGCATGTCTATTGACGTCAACCACATTCTGAAGACCGAGGACCTGGCAAGTGTCGAAGACCTCACTGTAAAAGGCCATCGGAGCTTCGGCCAGAAGCTTGACGCCGTGCTCGACCTTTTGGAAGAAATCGCGCAGCAGCCGACGCTCTCAGAGAAGGACTTTGGAAACAAGACGCACGAGAACAGCGGCGGGCAGGCCATCTTATTCGTCCAATCCTACCAGATGATGAAGAACGTCAAGCTCGCTCTCAACGGCCGCGGCATCTCTTACTACGCCATCGACCGCAAGGGCAGCGCGTCCAAAGATATCCAACAATTCAAGACGCACGTCTTTGATACCGACAAGCACTACCGACGTGTCCTGCTTCTCAACTTAGGCGACGAATCTGCCTCGGGCATGGACCTCGTCAACGCCAACCACGTCATCTTCCTCTCGCCGCTACTGACGGACACCGAGACTAAGTACCATGCGGCGATGACGCAGGCCGTGGGACGCTGCCGGCGACACGGGCAGAAGAACGCCGTCCACGTTTATCGCTTCGTGGCACTGCAGACCGTCGATGTGGACATCCTTGAGCAGCGCGAGCGTCTACACCCGGACAATGCGCTGCAAGAAAGCGGGACCGACTGGCGCGGCGTGGACCTCGCGTCGCCTGAGTACGCGGAGTTTGAGCGCACACGGCTGGTGGAGGATCTTGAGGGAGGAATGGCACTGGTGCCGCTCTCGTGGGTAAAGGAATCTGGCAGAGTGGAGGCAGAGCGACACGGCGTGCACTTGGGAGACGGCGAACTGAGACGGTTCAACTCGTTGGTGCGGTTCTCAGACACCTTTGCCGAGGAGGCGTTATAGTTGGAACTTGGCTGCTGCGACTGCTGGTGCCGTTCCAGACATTTTGGGATGCCGTCGGAGCGGGGCGGCTATTTTGTGTGTTTCGGGAGGAGCGAGCGGGACCTGCCTGCTGTGTTGGTTTATTTTGTTTGGAACGCGGATACCCCCTTCTTGTTAGTATATAGTTAGTTGGCTTTAGAGCGGAGACGGAGCGATTCTTGGAAGATGGCGAATCAGTGGCTGGGCTGCGGTTCGGTCTCTTCTTTCTTGTAGAGTAGGGTCTTAGAGGCTGAGAGTTTGGGCCTAGAGAATTATGGAGTGCATTGAGAATTGCTTTATGAAATGACTGGGTGTACTGATGGCTTTGTCGTTGCGGTGTCGCTGCTAGGTATGGACGCTTTGCACTGCCATTGATGGAAGAGAGGCGGGCGTGAGTGTGTGTTTGCGAGTCTGTTTCTGCAGAGCAAGGGAGCCGGAGGGGGGGGGTTGTTTGGGGTGTGGGTGTGGATGGAAAGAAAGTTTCTTTGCAGACGCTTTGCTTCTCGCTTGAGAATGTGGAGGGGAGCGTGAGGAGACGGAGGAGATGGGCAAGGTTCTGTGTGGTGGATAGTGGACTTGCGCGAGGAAGGGGTAGGTGGGTGTGGTTGCTGATTTTTGGGTAAGAAAGGTCGTAGATGTATCACTATTTGCTGATAGACTTGAGGTTGTATTTGGGGGAAGCAAGAATTTGTGTTTGGAGATTTGCTACATATGAAGAGATTTACTAAGGCAACAAAATACGACTAATAGGTTAAGAAGACATGGGGCCGAATGATAGCTAGCTGACGTTGAATTGAACACATACTCTTAAGTCTGTCATTGAAGGCTACCTTCATGTCAACGATACCTCACTACTCCCGGGACCTGTCTTCTCGAGCCCTACAGCTCATCGCGCTTTCTCCCTGCATACCCAGACGCCCTCGGTACCTTCACTAACCCGTCAGCAAACGCACAACCCACAACACAGCATCCTCCCCACTCACCTTGGGAATCTTAAAGCCGCCAGGAACCATAGTCTGAAACACGCCCTCGGGGTCATATTTCTCCGCCGCAGCACGCATCTTCCTCACGTTTTCCTCGCCATAGCTCCGCAAAGGATCCTGCGCCCCATCCGCGTAATTCAGATAAACAAACGGGTTGTCCCTGCCGATGCTTTTCGCGAACGCGCTGAGATCGGCTATGAGCTGGTGGAGCGCGCGCTGGAAGATGATGTCGCTGGCTGGGGTTTTCCAGGACAGGTAGCCCATGAGTACTGTGGGTTTGCGCTTAATGTTTGAGCTAGGAGTGGGGTGAGGGTTTGACGCACGGATGTTGTTGGTTTTGAAGCGCTCGAGGCCGAGGACGTTGCCGCCGCGCTCTGCGGAATGCTTTGCGAAGATGGGTGGGAGGTGCTGGAATAGAGTGTAGAACTTCCATTCTTCGTCTTTTGGCGTCAACTTCTTCACCATGGCGTCAAAAAGGGCGGCGCCTTTTTGGAGGACGCGCTCGTCGTTTTGGAATGTTAAGGTGACGAACATATGGCTGCGTAAATTAGTGAAGGACGATTGACTCAAGCGGATATACTTACCGGTACGCGAAAGAGTTTTCGATCTCCACAGTAAGGTCGGTCATGTTCGTGATGCGTGTAGAGTCAGAGATATTTTGGATAGCCAGAAAGTCGTTGAAAATGGGCGCGCGTGCGACCGGCTTCGTGTACTCGTACGTGTTGACAACCATTGTCTGCTTGGTTGTGGAATCGTGCGCCAGCATGAAGATTACAGATGCGTGCGGATCTTTCTTTGTGTCAAAGTTTACCAAGGCTTTGATGTGCTGTGGTATAGTGCTGCTTGGATATGCCACAATGCCGCCCCACAGGTTGGTTCTTTCGAAAGCAAACATGTCGATTTTCGTGACAATTCCGAAGTTGTTGGATCCACCCTTCAAGGCCTGGAAAAGGTCGGCGTGAGCGGTGTGGTTTGCGTTTATGATTTTCCCACTGGCAAGGACGACCTCGAAGCTGGCAACATTGTCGCAGACCATTCCTTTGGTGCCTGAGTAGTAGGATATGCCGCCGCCCAGGACAAGCCCACCAATGCCGACCGTGTTAGACCGGCCGCCAGCTACGGCGATGCCCCTTTTTTCAAGCGTGGAATACACTGAAGCACATCTTGCACCTGGCTGGACGTGGGCGAGGTTGGTCTCTTGCGAGTATGTTGTGGCGTTCATGAAGCCGAGATCAACGGTGACGCCGTCTTCGATATTGCTGGCTCCGGCCCAAGGCGTGTGTCCTCCGCTCCGAATGGCGAAATGGCATGGTGATGTTTTGTTGGCTCTCACAAGTGTTTTCACAATGCTTGCTACCTCGTCGGTATTTACTGGCTGAACTAAACATTGCGGCCGCAGTTTAGCGATCTCGGAGAAGTACGATTCCAGTCTGTTCTCATAAACTGAATCTCCCGGGTAGTGGATGTTGCTACTGCAGCGTGCGGTTTCAATAGCTTGACACTGCAGGCGTTAGCACGTACTGATAGCAGCTGGCTGCGGGCAATACATACGCAGGGTGAACGGGAATGATCTTGGCAACTCACAAGTACAGCGAGAAGTGGGACAAGTACAGTCTGTGGTTTCATTTCGAGCAGACTGAGAGATGACGAAAGAACTTCAGAGAAAACTGCGCGAGAAGTAGGGATATGAAAAACGTCCGATATTATAGGCACCAACTTCACTGTTCAATGATGATGCTACGCTGGAAGAAGATCTTCGTAACATCATACCGTATAGCTGGATGTTTACTAATTTCGGAATTTGCTGAGAGCTTCCGTAATCCATTGTGGTATGATACTATCACCCAATCAGATGTCATATCATAAGCGGAGTTAGGCGTTCAGATCCACCAGCGGTCTTGGCTCAGCTGACTTTGGTTTGATGATGAACGGAAGTCTTTCTATTGTAAGTATGCATGAAGTTCGATTCGAGGTGTCTGTGAATCATGCTCCACCGGGGTTGGATGATCCTTGACAATACAAGTAACATCTACGATGCCTAAGCCCAGGTTGTTAGATTTGGCGCAGGTGGATTCAAATCTATCACGTACTCCGTAGACTTGCAGGTCTTGCGATGAGATGAATGGCCCCCAAATCAACATAATTGTTATACATCACCTCCCGCAAGAAAAAGCTGAATGCATGATGAAGACATTTGTTGTCATTGAAGGAGTATTGGACATGTGCAATAAACGTTACTTTTAAGCTCTCGGGCCACGCAGCCAGCCATTGCAGCCCCATTCAATGCGTTTGGCTGATCCGATGGGGGCTTCGCAAATTTGTGTTTGATAGGAGCCCAGTTGGGGGTACTAATGATGGAATCACAGCTGGATTGACAAGTAGCGGTATCTGGCAGGCTTGATATGTCGTGTTGGGCAGTAGGGTGTTCGTTTGTAGCGACAAAAAGTGGTGTGGTGTGAATGTAGATCAGATCTGAGAAAGGCAGATATGTAATGTCCCATCCGTAGAACAGGAAAACTGAAAGTCGAGACCGCGTTCGTTTGATATCATCAAGGAAGTGTGGAGTTCCTCTTTGGGCTTGTAAATCGGTCAGGGCTGATTCGCTGGTTATCCTAGTGCATCCGGGATCCTAGGTCGCGATAGTTTGTTAGCGGAAAGACAGAAGATGGCTGGGAGAAACCGCCGTCGCTCGTGAATTTACAGACAATGCAACCGGACACGCCGGCTTGCGCCGGTCCAACCTCTTCTGGTTGCTAAGTCTTGCGAGCTTGATGTCGAAGTACGATGTTGTGACCGCGTGTCTGTGGCATCCCGTGGTCTGAAACGCTGCGGGGTAACGTGCACTAACTCAAAATAGTTAGTCAGGTACCAGTTGCAGATGGGCGCTGCAACAGTCTTTCCCCACTTTCCGCTCTCATGATTCGTTATCTTTCCATTGACTTCCTGTAGGGCTCCTGCCTGCCATCTTTGTCCATTTCAATAGGCTTCAAATGCCTTTGTAGAGCGACATGCACGTCTGCCTAAAACCGCGTCCCAGCGCGATGCGTGTGAAGAAGAACCGTGGCTTTGGATGCGAGAGAGATGTTATCATTCCTTAAAGGTTTGTATGCAGTTTGTACCTACCTACCTGACGACGCGTTTGCCCGTGCGTCCTAACCTTTTCGGGCCATGCTGTCGTCCTTTCCGTGAAACGTTAGATCAATTGATCATATTTCAACCACCGCCCACCGCTGCTCCTTCCACACCTACCGGCACACTACTCCAACTACAAACACCGTCAAGGCAAAGTCATCGACAACTCGCACCATGTTTGAATGCGAGACATGTACGGCTACTTTCTGGGACGACTATGATGTCGTGGAGCACATGAACTACGAGAATCACTGGCCCGAGTGTGAGACCTGCACTCGTACTTTCGACACCCAGGCCGCTTGCGACCAGCACATGGACGACACAAACCACTGGGCGCCAATCTTCGAATGCGAAACCTGCACCAGCCAGTTTCGTTCCCAGAATGCAGCCAACCAGCACATGAACGCCCTTGGGCATTGGGCACCCAGCTTCCCTTGTGAGACATGTGGAAAGATGTTCCGCACCCAAGGAGCAGCAAACCAACACATGAACAAGCTTGGACATTGGGCGCCGAGAGTACCATGTGAAACCTGTGGCCTGAAGTTCTTCACGCAAAACGCTGCCAACGATCACATGAAGGCGGAAGGCCACTACGAGAACTACTGCGAAGCCTGCGACATTTCATTCCAGAACGGAAACAACCTAAGGATGGTGAGCTTCCCCTTCGAGTGTAAGCCTCGTCAAGCTTGTTTTTACTCACAACCTTACCTGTAGCACCTCAACTCCAAAGTTCATCGTAGCGGCATCAAGTGCCCGTTCTGCTCCAGTAAGTATACCACTGCCAGTGGCCTGATCCACCACCTCGAGCGTAACTCTTGTCCACGCGCTCCACAGCTCAACCGGGAAACAATCCACCGCATGGTGAGCCAGCGGGACCCTCACGGCGCCATCACAAACAAGCAGATCGGATGGCACGCGGAAGAGAACACCACTTACACGGTTACGGACCGCGCCTTTAACGGTATCGCTTGGGAGTGTTACCTCTGCCACAAGCTATTCAGCACCTGCAATGCCCTTAACAGCCATGCCAACTCGCCAGTCCACCAGCAGAAGGTGTACCATTGCCCGAGCCCGAAGAGCAGGTGTGGTAAGCAGTTTTCCACGCTCGCTGCTTTGTTCAATCACCTGGAGAGTGAGACGTGCGGGTTCATGAGGTTCGAGAAGGTACAGCAGCAGTTCGGAAACTTACTGCAGAGAGGAAGGATCATCACGTTCTAGTAAACGCGGTATCTATAGTGAGATGCTCACCTGCGACGCACTTAAGCTTTGGGTATAGCTAAGAATTGTCTTATGGAGAGTATTATACTCCGATGATAGGGCTTTGTTGGCAGAGATTGTTTAATGTACTTAAATTCAGAACAGCCTAACATGCATTCGCCTCTGCCAAGTACTTCCACGTCCATCCTCGTCAAGCAAATGTCGTCTTATTGTTTTTATAAGGAGGTGAAGATGCTGAGATAGCACTCTAAAACGCCGTGATCTTACCAGATGGCTACTCAGACAACAGCGTGGGGCCATGAAAATGACTCGTGCCAATATCTGCAGCCTAGAACAGCTTCTTCTCATGAGTCAGCTGCGGTTCAACCCGAAACCCTTCCACGCCTTCCAGGCACGCCAGGACAACAAAGTTTTTATCACACTGCTACAGTTTGTACTCACAGCGAGCCATTCGAAAACGTCTGGGGGCTCTACTCCACGTGGTTCTCTCCAAGGAAACAACAGACATTGCGACTGTGCTTGCCAGGATGAGCGACCTCGCGGACAGCAAGGCGGAAGGCATGCGACCGGACGACACCGCGACGCCATCGTAACGTCACCATCAATCTACACTACAACACATGGAAGACCGATACAATGCATCACGGCAACCTCAATCCTCCTTCCCATCACAAACATGGCTTTCAAGACTGTCGCACTCTTCGGCGCTAATGGCCAGATCGGCGACTCGATCCTACGCGCGCTGCTACACTGCAAGAAGCAAGACTTCGACATCGTCGCCTTCATCCCTCCCGATACCTCGCTGGAGAGCGGCCAAGAAGACCGCAAGGTCACGGTCAAGAGCTTCGATCTCAACAAGCTGTCGAGGGAGGGGCTGACGCGGGACCTGAAAGGCGTTGATGCCTTGGTCAGCGCGCTGAACGGGAAAGCTCTTGAGGCACAGCCTACAATCCAAGATGCGGCAGCCGGCGCTGGCGTGAAGCGTTATTACCCTAGCGAGTATGGCATGCATAACATCTATCGTAAGCCCGGTGATCCGCAGGGATACGTTCATCCGGTACGTACATCTTTGGCCCTTTGGTCAATGCTGCCATGTAGCTGACACGGAAACAAGATGTGGGACTTGAAAGCTCGGTATGATCAACAACGCCGCCACGGCTGGGAAACAGATACTAAGCAGGGCGTTTCAGGTTGAACGAGCATGTGGTTCTCCATCCCGCAATCCTTGAGGGCAAAATGACATACACCGTCATTGGTTGCGGCGACTTCTACAACCAAGATCGCGAAACCGTCTGGTGTCCCTGGACGCAGAAAGACGTGAAGGAGTACACGCTCCATATCATCGGCGACCCTGACGCCAAAGCGCAATACACGCACCTGGACGACTTCGCAAGTTACCTCGTCGCGACGCTCTGTGAGCCCGACAAGTCCGAGAACGCGTACCTCAACTTCCCCAGCGATACGATCTCACATAACGAGATCGCCGCACTGCTCGAGAAGTACACGGGCAAGCCGGTCAAGAGGGATATTTACCCTGAGGAGGAGATGCACAAGATCATTGCGGACCCGTCTAAAGCGCCGAAAGAGCTGACAAAAAGCGCATTCCCTGTCGACTTCTGGTTTTTGGTTAAGGGTGCGCAGGGGCAGGGCAGGTTTCTTCGGCCTCCGGGGCAGATCCACAATCATCTTTTCCCCGAGGTGCAGACAACTACATTCGAGAAGTACTTTCAGCAGCGTTACGGAAAGGTATGAACAACCCATGTTGGACTCTTCGCGTAGCAACATGCGTTGACGCGAAGTACATCAAGCTTCACGCAAAGCTATGAACGCGATTGCTTCTCTTGTCCAGCGGAATGAAGACGGAAAATGATGCAGAACGAGTACACTGCTTTCCTGCTTCACGAATTTTTACATTGGATATTTGTTTCCCTCTCGCAAGGAAGTCTCGACATCTCCGGCGACAGAGTTTTCTGCAGTCGAACCATGCTTTGTTTCTTTTCGACACTTAAACACCATGTTCGATTTACCAACGAAGACCTGCCCGGTATCGCTGGAATCAAGATTCTCAAAGCCATGCGATAGAAAAGTGATGGCAAACACACCACTTCCACAGTCTTTCCGGGATATACGATACTGCAATGACCATTTTCTTCAGCCAATGCGCCTCTACGGATCTATCTCCGAAATCGTGAAACTCATGAATCGCTAGTAGTCGGACCAAGAAAATACTTTTGCGCTGTGCTGACCTCTCAATGGTCGCGTTTTCGGCCCCCATGCTAAGAAAGAAGCATGCATGGAGGGACATGCTTCAAACTTATCCCTTCAGAATGGTATGATAAGACTTTTCCGTTTTAATATGGTGCGATTACTCCGTACAGTGATTGGTGCGTTGACCCTGCAGCTTGATCTGCAGCAGCATTTGCCGGCGCTAACACAATTACAAAAGGGTAGCGATCATCTTTCCGCGTGGCTCGAGTGAGTGACACTGACAAGGACGCGTCCACTCGCGACGGCAGACATCTGCAATCGGCTATGCAGCTACTGTGACAGAAATTCTTGTCCGGGTGATTTGCCAGACACTTCCAAGCATCAGCTATCGCACAAGCAAGGGTGCAAGCACGCAGGACGCGCACTACTTTTAACCCCAGAGTCTGCGGAGCTCGCTGAATGCTGTCTCAGTAAGCCACCAAAACGGCGATTTACAGTGGAGATCAAGTGAGTGGGGTTGCAGAGACAAGCGGGGTACATGACATCGCCCAATGGCAAGCGAACCGTACGTTTCGTATCCCGTTTGGTTGGCCCAATGCACGGCTGGCTACAATGTCGTTCTCGGTAACAGGGCCGCTCTCGCCAAGGCATCACGCTTTATATAATGATTGCGAAACCGCTGTCGCCGCCGGGCTGCAGTTCCTTTCCTTTCACCACTGTCCCACTGGTTTCTCTGCCACGTTCTGAACAATGGGGAATACCGGTACGAGTACTTGGCTTACCTCTGCCTTTGTCGGCCTCGCTTTCCATGCGTTGACGCAATGGGTGGAGATTGACATGTTAATTCCCCAAACGTTTGCCGTTCTCATCGCCTCGCTTCTCGCAATCTTCTATGTCGATGTCCAGGTGTACGGCTCGGCGACCACGGACGCAGCGATAACCTTGGCGACCGCTGTGGCTGGCTTTCTGGTTAGCGTTATAGTTTCTACGCTTGTGCACCGGATCTTCTTCCACCGTCTGCGAAAGTTCCCTGGTCCCTTCTTTGCCAAGATTTCCAAGTTCTATGGCCTTTTCTATATGGCTCGCAACTTGCAATATCAATTTGAGATTGAGAAGCTACACGACAAGTATGGGGATGTGGTGCGCACTGGTAAGTCCTCTCGTGGTTTGGTATGAGCTTCTAATGACGAGATAAATAGGCCCACGCGAGCTCTCCGTTGCCCGTGTCTCTCCGCTTAACAAGATTATCACATGCGGCAAGCACAACTTTTACTCCATGGGTGACCAGAACCAGAAGCACCAGGGGCTGTCTTTCACCCTCGACCAAGAGGACCACAAGAAGCGAAGAAGAGCTTGGGACCTATCCATGAATACACAGCGTAAGGTTATACGCATTGTTTGGAACCCCTACTAACAAATCCCGCAGAGGTGGCTAAGTACGATCCCGCAATGCAATCCATTGTAACGCTGTTCCTAGAGCGTCTCGCCGAGCAGCGCGGCAAGCCCGTCAACGCCACAGAATGGGTCTCCTGGCTCTCGTATGACATCATGGGCATCGTCGGTTTCAGCAAGGACTTTGGCAACCTGCGGTCAGGCACTGAGCATATGGCCGTCCGCGGTCTTCGCGATCAGATGATTGCGTTCGGCGCGTTCAAGCACGTGCCTTGGCTGGCGCATCTGCTTAGCCATATTCCTGGTGGACAGGGCGCCATGGGCCCATTCAACGAGTACTGCCGGAAGCTCGTTTTTGAGAAGCGCACGGTGAGTGGTGGTTGTGGCGGGTATCGAAAGGATGTACTGATTTAGCACTGTAGTCTCTGGGCGCGAAAGAGCTGGAGGAACCCAATGACATCATGACATGGCTCATCAAAGCGTTTGTCGAAAAGCGGCCATGGGCAGCGCATACGATCCTTGCACTCGACGACGACTCGCGCTCTCTAGTCATGGGCGGCGCGTAAGTTCCTCAACCCCTTAAAACAAGCTTTCATTTGCTAACCTCCACAGCGACACGACCGCGGGCACCCTGACAAACATCCTCAGCTACTTAGCCCTCTACCCCTCATACCAACAAAAACTGCAGTCAGCACTCGCAGCCGTCTACCCCGACGGCCCTGCCTCCTTCAACCCGGACCTCGTAGACCGCGTCCCGCTCCTCGAGGGCATCGTCAATGAAACACTGCGCCTCCACCCGCCCGTGCCGAGCGGGCAGCCGCGCGTCACGCCATCGGAAGGCCTGCACGTCCTGGCTGGGAAGGGCGAGGAGGGCGACCTGTTCATCCCGGGCGATACGGTGGTGCTGATGCCGCAGTGGCTGATTCAGCGGGATGAGCGGTACTTTGAGAAGGCGAAGGAGTTTGTTCCCGAGCGGTGGATTGCGGGAAGTAAGGATGCAGGCATGATTAAGAACCGGGATGCCTTTTTCCCGTTCCAGCTTGGTGAGTTAGCCTTTTTATTTGTCCCTACCCACTCGAACATCTCTCGCTTGTTTCCGAGTTTCTGGAGTCGGATTGTTTGGGATCCGGTGCTAACACCTTGATGTGATAGGCGCGCACAACTGCGTCGGCAAGCAGCTCGCCATGTGGGAGATGAAGAACGTGCTTGCGCGCCTGGCCCTGACGTTCGACGTTGTCCTTGCGCCTGGCGAGGACTCTCGCCGCTTCCACAGCAAGGCGCTCGATACGTGGACGCTGACGCTGCCGGCGCTGATGCTGGAGTTTAGGCCGAGGGAGTGGGCGAAGGCCGCGGCGTGAGTAGGTGGGATGCAAGGGAATGGGTCTGCGGCTCTGCGGTACTCACGTGCACGTTAGGTCCTTGCTGTGTGAATGAAGATTGTTCGTCCTGCTTTAGAGGGCTTTTGGCTGGGGTGTGAGCGCTGTGAAGATGTCGATGGCGTTGGGCCTGGCCCTTCCACTTCGTAACTCTTCATCTTCTTCTGCCTTCCAGACACTCAGCAACTCCACGAAGTCAACTCCATAGTGGTATCGACCCATTCCTCCCAACCATCACGCACGCGCATCCTCGTCAAGTGCGTCCCTGCGCGCAGCTCCCTCCTCACATACCCTCGAACCTCCCATAGACCTACCGCACCCCCGTCCCCCCATCCACACACCTAACTTCCAAAAACACTCCCAAACAAACACCCAGCCCCAAAGCCCCATCGCCCACCCCTCCAGCTACCCCGCTGGTGCCGCAGGACAAGCTCGGAGATTCAGCGCTTTAGGCCGCGCGGGCCGCCGTACCCACCTACCGTCTCCGGCGATGGCGAGTACGGCGGCCTGCAGGGGCCTGATACGCTAGGGCGGGGGTGTGGGTGCGGGGGAGAGTCACTGACGCGTTGTATAATAGAGAGGTATAGGAGCGGGAAGAGCAGTGTGGAGCGTGGTTAAGTGGTGAATGAAGGTCTCGGGGACAGGTGGTTGGTATGAGATTTTCTTTTTCTTTTTTTTCTTTTTTTTCTTTTTTTTCTTTTTCTTCTGCACATGTTCGCACGCATTCGCTCGACCAGTTACGTTGGACAGTACTAAACCTCCGCGCCGCGAACAGTAAGCAGGCGCAGACGGACCTGTTTGTGGGGAGAAGTATAGGTAGAAACATGCAGCAAAGCCCCGCCTTTCAGGCAGAGAAAGCAAAGCCAAACAGCAAACATCAAACGCACGCACGCGCTGCAGCAAATACAACGCAAAGAGCAAGCAATATCGGCTTTCTGACCTCTTAACCCTTCCCGTACCTTTCCCCAACACCTCCCACACACTCACCAGTCAGGCGCACGGCCAGAACACACGTGCGCGCAGCAGCGCACCACTGACGACGTTGCCGTTAGGTACCTTGTCAAGCCGCCTACAAGCCACAGGCATCCGCCATCACCCATCAGGCGTGCCGCACGCCACAAGCCCCCTTTCTTTCCCTCCCACCTTCCCTTCTACAAAAATGAGGCTGTCGCCGCAGCCGAAGCCGAGTCAAGGCGTGGGGGCCATCAACCAAGGGGCCATGAAGCCGCGGGGGCCGCATGGGGGCGTGCTTGCGTGCGTGCGTGCGCGCCGAGGGAGGGCTTGGGGCGGTTTGGCCCTTGGGTGCTTTGGCTGGGATTTTTGGGGAGGGGCGGTTGTGATTGTGATTGTGTGACAAAGGGGAGCGGGGGCGGTGAGTTGGTGTGACTGTGTGGGGGCTGCATGCCGCTGCTGGTCGTGGTTGTGTATGAGGATGCTGGATTTTGGGGAGGGGATCGTGTGGACAGTAGATGTTTTGCGGAGTTGAAGACTGAAAAGCGAAGGTAAGCAGTGAGTGTGGCAGCAGTATGTACCTCGCACCAGACAAAAGCAAGAGGGAAACAGCGTCCAATGCGCTCTTAAAAAAGAAGAAAGAAGAAAAACTTCAAACTTTTACCCAAGACGCCAGCGCAGCCGCACCGGGGATCTCAACGCCAACTTCAACGCCAATGCCATCGCCAAATCAGCCAGCCCCACTACCGCCGCACTTCCCCCCACGTAACCTCCTTATTCACCGTAATGGCATGCTCCTCACACCTCCACGCGTCGTCCTCCGCCTTAGACCCCGCACTCGCACTCGCACTCCCACACGCACTCCCACTGCGCGCACTACCAGCTCTAATCCTCGTCGTCAAGCCAATAGCATCTCCACTCTCAACATCGCCCTCCACCGTCTCGACATAGCCTCTCGCGCCCCATTTCTGGCGGCGCGCGCTGCCACTCTGAGCTCGCGAGCGCGACGTCGTTCCCGCTCCGAATGTGCTGCCCCAGCTATCCCAGAGCAGCGAGAAGCGGCGTTTCAGCGAGGGCGAGACACGCCGCATCAATGGGGCGAAGGTGGGCAGGCACGCGGACACGATCCCCACGAACGGCTCGACGCACGACCAGATGAAGACGGCGCCGATTTCCCAGGTGAGGTCTTTGGCGGAGAGGAAGTGTTTGAGGGTGACGATGCGGGCGATGCTTGCGCCGACGACGCTGGTGGGGGCGTTAGCGGGAGTGGGGGTTGGGGAGGGTTGGGGAACGTACAACGCGCCCAGCAAAAAGATGACGGTGACAGCAGCGCGCTTCTGCGTCGGCAGCTGCAGGGACCAGATGGTCGGCAAGGGCATGAGCAGGATGACGACGTCGACGAGCATAGCCCAGATGGCGTTGGCGTAGTAGAAGAGGCCGAGGTCGATGCAGGTGCCCTCGGCGGTGGGGTTGGTGTACTGCTCGAAGAAATACGAGAAGGGGCGGCAGCCGGTGTTGATGACGACGAGGATGACGACCCAGTAGCTCACGGCCAGGAAGGCGCCGAGCCAGAAGCCGTATGTGAAGCTGAAGATGCGGCGGTAGAAGAGCACGATGGAGAATTTGGTGCAGCTGACGGCGGTGGCGTAGATCATGACGTAGGCGTAGAGGATCTGTGTTTGTGTTAGAGCGGGTGGAGGGAAAGACCTAGAGAGTTGCGAGGGCACGCACCCGCCAGATCATGGTGAAGTCGTCCTTGGACACGGTCCACAAGTGGCGTCCGGCGCCGTATTGGATGCTGAGGAAACAGCAGATGGCCGTCACCCACGTGAAGACCTGCTCAGCGCCCAGACGCAATCAGCTCTCCGTCCATACCCATGTCAAACACACACACAATATCTCAAACGCACCAGCGCTAGAAATATAAACACGTCGTCGATGCACAACCCCGGCCCGTTGGCCATGCTGCGCGCCATGAACCGCAGCACCACCGACCCCGTCCCCACCACCGCCACGGGGATGATGGTCCAGTAGATGACCTCGGTCTGGTTCTCATGGAGGTCGACGTACCCCGGCGGGGCGCCGAACTCGCCTGTCGCCATTGTTCGAGAAGGGAGCGAAGGTCTGCAAGCGATAGGTAGTCAGCGATTGCACCACTTGTTTCTCACGAAGGTAATAGGAGAGTATGTAGAGTGAGCATGGGCCACTTACTCTGTACGTGCGGAACAGTGAGCAAGTCCAAGAAGAGCAAGTCAAAAACAAGCTTGACGGCAGTGGCGTAAAAGAAGGTCACGATACTCGGGCGTCCCAGCGCGGCGCTTTAAACTCTGCCTGGGTATAGAGTCCAAGTCAGTATATGAGGCTGCTGCTTCGGCCCCCTAGCTAAGCTTCCCACTTGCCAACCCACCGATCGCCAAATGAGACGGGGGAGCGGTGTTGGGCACCTGCATCTCGGATTCGCCGACCTTTCTAAGCTGCAAGCAACATGCTCAGAAATCTCGGGGCTTGACTGGCTCGCTTAGCCGCCATAGGTACCGATTGCTATTTGCGTGCGTCGGTTCCTGCGAGCTGGAACGCGCGTCGGCTGCTTTCTGAGGCCCAGAAACCCTTTCCGGAAGCCTGGATTGGGGGCTTCCTGCTTGTCGTTCTGCCATGGCCTTTTCTTCGTTTCTCGCCTAAACCCGTGCTCTTGCTCCATTGCATGCTTGCTATACGCATCTTCTGTACACTGCCCGCACATGTCAGAGCCGCAAGAGCGCATTACCATCACCATTCCCCCCCTACCGGCAACGCAGTCGCGCAGACCAGACACCCACCCACTCACCGTACCGGCGCAATCCCAATCTCCAAGCCAACCGCGACATTGCGCACCCCACACGGCGCAATCCTGCCGCCCACCCGCCGGCCCATCTAATCTTAGACCCGACCATCCGCGCCCGCTCAAGCCCTCTCTGCCCTACCCAGCCAGCCGTCCTCGCTATCGATTGCCCGCGCATGCATCCCTATTTTTTGTCGATCTCCCGGGTCCAAAGATCGTGGCCGGGCCCCAGAGTCCAGGAACAGGCCGAGGCTGTCCGTCGCATAAACCCGGATCCTTCACCGCGCGCACTCGACCCGATGGCAGCTTGCTCGCGGTCTGTGTTGTGAAGGATGGCCGGCGCTGAATCGGCGCTTGCTGCTGCCGATCAACGGGCGGGCGCGCGGCCCGCGCCCGCTGCCACCGTCTGGGCCACAGCCGCTGATTCACCGGGCGCCTACTCCGTACATACACCTGCGATCCTCATGTCCTTCCATCTATCATCCATTGTATCTCTCTTCATTCTGGCAAAGCTGCCATTGGTCAACGCTTTTCTCACGGTCGAAAGTTGCTGACCAGCTCATGCATTGCAGCCAGTCTTGAGCGTGCGCCCCGTCGCGTAGCTGCAGTGGCACAGCTCTCCCCCACCTCGCACCCACCGGGCCAGGCACCAGCCACTGCTTGCCTGAAAATCCTTCTCGCACGGCCTTGGGGGCCAAAAACGGAAACGGGCGCAACGGCACTCTGTCTCGCCCTGCGGACCATGACGAGGGGAGGTCCACGCTGGCGAAGGATTCGCCTGCAGCCCCTATCCGGCGAAGGATACAGAGGACCAAGTAACGCTGCTGTATCTGGGTATAGCTTGCTGCGACCTATGGCGTTGCAGACGTTCCCGATCGCCTGCCCCGCAGACCACTCAGACCTTGCTGCTTGGACCCTTATTTTTTTGCCGACAATGTGGCCCCGAGGCCACCTATTCTCGGCTCCGACGCCCCACCGCCGCTAATTGTGGCCGTTTGTGGGGAAGCATCGAGTGGCGTTGCTTGCCGCACCTAACAGCTAGCTATAGTTCGCCCCAAAATCGAGCACCCACGCCGCACGCGGGCGCAGAATGCGCTCACTTCCTCTAGGCAGCGGCCCCCATCGTGGGGATAAGTGGAACGGAAAAGGGTGCTTTCAATCTCGCATCAAATGATTCTGTGTTGTATAAAGGCGCTGCTGCTGTTCCATCGACATGCATAGCTTCAGCATCCAACAGTATTCACGTCTCCTAATAATTCCTCCACCACCACTACTACCTTCCTTTTTCGCTCGTTGTCTAGATTTTTTGTTTTTCAACCATGCCGATTCTTCACGGTTCCTTGAGCGCCGATATCCCGCTCGAGAGCAGGCCGAACTGGGTGCCGCTGCTGGAGCAGCCGATGCATACGCGCCGCCCGTTGAAGGTCATCTGCGTCGGAGCAGGGTATTCGGGCTTGACGCTGGCGCACAAGATCAAGCATGAGTACAAGCTGGCCGATATGGTGGACCTGACCATCTACGAGAAGAACACGGATGTCGGTGGAACGTGGTTTGAGAACAGATACCCGGGCGTTGGATGTGACATTCCGTCGCACGCGTACACCTTTCTCTTCGAGCCCAACCCCGACTGGTCCAAGTTCTACGTCCCTGGACCCGAGATTCAGCAGTACATCAAACGCACTGTAAAGAAGTGGGGCCTAGATGAGAAGGTCCAGTTCAACTCCCGCATCGTCGAAGCTGTTTGGGCCGAGAGTGTTGGCAAGTGGCGGGTGAAGCTGGAGCAGAATGGCGTTTTTAAGGAGGATGAAGCGGATATCCTGGTCAACGGCGCGGGTTTCTTGAAGTGAGTCTTGTGTTCCTGGTTGCTTCTGGAGATTTTCTAATCTGTAATGCTTTTTAGCAAGTGGAAGTGGCCTTCAATTGAAGGGCTATCCGACTTCAAGGGCAAATTGGTCCACACTGCAAACTGGTAGGCTGGCTTCTGATGATTTAGAAGTCCAATGTTGACTCATTACCGCAGGGACGATTCCTACGACTGGTCTGACAAGAAGGTGGCTGTGATCGGAAACGGCTCATCCGGCCTTCAGTGCGTGCCCGCAATGCAGCCCAAGGTCTCAAAGCTCGTCAACTACGTCCGGAACCCAACGTGGGTATCCGTCAACTTCTGCGCGGACAAGGCGAGAGACGGCAACAACTTTGCCTTCAGCGAGGAAGAGAAGAAGCGTTTCCGCGAAGACCCTGAGCACCACTACCAGTACCGGAAGGAGCTCGAAGCAAGGTAAGTGAAAGGGATAGATGGAAGAGAGAGGGGGACAAAAGCTAACCCCACCAAAGCGTCAACGGCTTCTTCTACGCCATGTGCAACGATCACCCAGCCCAGCAGATGCTGAAAGAAGCCTGCGAAGCGCAGATGACGGAGCGCATGAAGGACAACCCCGCGTTGAACCCCAGCGAGCACATCCCGGCCTTCCGGCCCGGATGCCGGCGCCTCAGCCCAGGCGACGGGTACATCGAGGCCTTCAAGCACGAGAACTGCACGATGGAGTGGACGCCGATCAGCCGCATCACGGAGAAGGGGATCCAGACGACCGATGGCAACGAGGAGGCGTACGACATGATTGTGTGCGCGACGGGCTTCGACACGTCGTTTGTGCCGAGCTGGCGGCTGGTGGGCCGCGGCGGCGCGACGCTCGAGGAGCGCTGGAAGGTGAATCCGCAGGCGTTCTTCGCTGTCCAGGTCGATGGCATGCCGAATTACTTCATGTTCAACGGGCCGAACTGCCCCGTCAGTCACGGCAGCGTGCTGACGCAGCTGAGCTGGACGTGCGACTATATTTTGCGGTGGGCGAAGAAGATCGCTACCGAGGACATCAAGTACGTCGCCTTTCCCTTCCACTTTTTCCTTCCCCCAACACGCCACTAACGCAGCCTCACAGATCCATCGACCCCCTCCCCGCATCTGTCGCCGACTTCAACGTCTACGCGCAAGAATTCCTCAAGCGCACCGTCTGGGCCAACGACTGCGTGTCGTGGTACAAGAACGGCAAAGCGGCCGGGTGGGTGACGGGGCCTTACGCGGGCACGATCCTGCATTTCAAGGAGTGCTTGGACAGCGTCGGCGGCGAGCACTTCGACATTAGGTATAGAAGTGGGAACCGATTTAGGTGGCTGGGCGATGGGACCACCGAGAGGGAGGAGGGAGGCAACGGTGACTTTGCGTGGTATTTGGATGGGGTGAGGGCGCAGCTTGAGGGGCTGGAGGCTTGAGGCGGTGTGTAGTTTTGTGTGAGGGGGGTTGGTGGTTGAAGAGCGTCTTTTCATGCACTGTATTTATATCCGCAAAAGATTCTTCATTCTCCATTGCCTGAGCTTGAACGCCCTTCGGCGCAGCACACAGCCTATCCGCCGCACCCGCATATCGCGATACACGGACCTCGCTCACTCTTACGCTTGCACCAGTACCTATGCAGCAGCTGCACAAACACACACGAACACGCACACTCATCCGTTCCACCCTCCCCACAGCACCATCCCCAAGCACCCCTCTCACCATCTCCACCTCAACCCCTCTAAGCCTGACACTCCTTCCTCTCGCCGCCCTCATAGAAATAGTCCTTGGCGACCTTGATCTCCTTGACCGTCCACGTCTTGCCGCCATCGCTGGTCTTGGCGCCCGAAGACGTCGCGCCGTTGAACGTGAACGGGTAGGCCGGGTCCGCGCCCGACAGGTGCACCGTCACGTCGGTCCAGGCATAGCCGGCCAGGGTGCCGCACTCGTAGCCACCGACGCACTCGTTCTCGGCGTAGAACTCGACGGGCTGGACGCCCTTGTTGTCGGCTTGGTAGGAGACGAGGGCGCCGTCGATGTAGACGTATTGGTCGATCATGGAGGTGGTGGCGTTGATCGAGACTGCGTGTGTGGGTGCGGTTAGTTTGAGAGCGCTCTGTAGTGGGGGTGTGGACGAGTGCGGGGCAACGTACTCTCAAAGTCGACCTTGGCGCCCTGCGGCACAGGGACGTAGGCCTGCCCGTTCTGGCCCTCGGGCGAGTACGAGCTAGCCGTGACGCACCACTGGTCGGCAGTGGCGCCCTTGCAGCCCGTGAGCTCCTGGTTCGGCGCCCAGTTGAAGATGGGCTGGATGAGGGCCAGGTTCTCGACGTCGTCGCCGCGCGGCTGCACCCCGCACCAGAAGCTCAGCTCCTCCTGCGGGGTGCCCGTGTGCGCGCCGCACGGCGTCGCCGGCGGCACCGTGCTGTACGTCACTTTCGTGATGTACACGTCGTCGACCGTTGTCGGGCCCGAATAGAACCCGTTGCCGAACGTCGTGTACTCCATGGCTGACGCTTCCAGAGCGAGGGCCGAGGCCGCGGCGAGGGTCGTGAAGGCGCGCATGTTTGCTGCTTGTGGGGGAAAGAGCGTCTGAGAGAACCGGTCTCTGGTGTTGGTGAAGAAGCGAATGAATGGACTGGGGCGGAGGACGTATGGCGGTCGGCTAGAGATTCTTCGTGATGGATTTACCTTGGTGTTATATACTACATCTCTGAGCGCGAGCACAATTACCGCTCTGTCGCAGGTAGATTGCCATGGCGTTTGCCGCCCGCCATGAAACATTTCATCTCAAAGTACGGGCACCTTTGCGCTAGGGCGGCGGGCCCGACTCTCCTTATACAGTGCGGGCGGGCTGCCCGTCCGGAGTCCTTCATTCTCTATTCGGCTGACCACGCCGCCAAATCAGGCCTAGACCGCGGGGGATTCGCCAGATGGCGAGCATCCGTCACCCCAAAGCGTGGTGTTCGTCAAGCGCACTGGCGCGATGCGGGGCGCGTGAGATGTCCCCCACCATAAGCCTCCGCCGTAAGCGTGGGCCGAACGACGGTCTGCCGAGGCCGAGTGTAACGAGGCCTGTCTGGTGGAGCGAGGCCTGTTTAGCGGAGCAAGATCTGCCTAGCGGAACAAGGCCTACCGCACGAAACGGCGAGGCCTGCCCAAAAGGACGACTCGGCAGCCAAAGCAGACAACCACACCACATGTTTCCTACCACTCAACGACGCGGCGGAACAATAGTGCCGAAGGAAATTGCATCTCCTCGCCGTGACCTTCCCAACGTATCCAGATGGCCCCCTCTTGACTGTAGCTCCGGCACTCATGGCCTGATGCTATTTCTGGAGATGCGGCGGCAAGGCGGGACTCGGGAGGCGGTGAATGAAGGCCGGGCGGGTCAGTCGCAATCGCCATCACCAGGAACGCTCGATCGAGGCGCAAGCATGTGGCTTTGTGGGGTGGTGGCGGGCAGCAGGCGTGGGCCGTTCGTTAATGCCGTGAAGTGGTGTGTGGCGCGTGTCGTGTTTCGTTCAGCGCGTCAGGGCCGCGGAGGCGGGGGCGTGCCGGCGCAGTAGTAGATACATGCACACAATCGCAAGCGCGCTTGAAAGGCATCAGCTTTTGGAGCGATGCATCTCTGCGAAAGTAGATAGGTTCTGCGATGGACGCGAAGACGGCTGTAGAAAGTGCACTCGCGCTGGCGTATTGTGCGAATACGAATACGCTGCTCCCCGCCGCATAGTTCTTGCAACAGTGATAACAGATAAGTTACCCCCCTTCTTTTGATTGTCTTGCTCGCCCCTTGCCCGCCTGTTAATTTAGTCCTACTAAGCCTGCAGGTTGCTCCCTGGAAGGTATAAACGGCTTTTACGTTATGATTTGATTATCTTCAGTAGCTACGAAGAGAAAACGGCATGAGGAGTGAAGAATGTTTGGAAGAGTGCGCGGACATAGACGTGTAGGTGTGTAAAAGTACTTCAGAAGCCTAAAAAAATTGCGAAGCAACAAAACACCTCCAACAACTCATACAAACACGACTCCCTCTTCACCACACCCCCCTCTCTTTCCCCTACAGAGCTTCATCAACGCCCGCCCATCCTCCCTATCCACGTCCCCCTTCTGCACCTCCCCCAAAAACCCGCTAAACTGCTTCCCTGCATCTGTCTCGCTTCCCTCCGTTGGGCTGAACCTGCCCGCCTCTCTCGCCCTCCTTATAGGTACATACATCGGCCCTGGTCGCATCGAGTCGAAATACTTGTACCGCCACTCATACAACTCCGTCTTCATGTTCAGGTACACCTCCGCGTCCGACATGTTGCGGACGTCGTCATTGCATGCACCGAAGCGGAACTCCTCGAGGCGAGGCAGCTCAGCCCCCAATCGTGCAAAGACATCAGCCCAGCGCAGCGACGTGAACTGCGTCGCTCGGGGGCGAGAGCTAGAGTTAAAGTTGACGAGCTGCAGGAGCCGGTGCGGATGCTGGCCCTCGTCCGCATGCAGCTCCACGCCTTCAGGATCGGAGACCGGGACCGCGAAGGGCGGGTAGATGATGCGGTACACGATGATGGGGCAGTGGTGGAGGAAGAGCCGACGCAGCGTGCGCCCGTGCCCTGTGATCCAGTCAACGTGTGCGCAGCGCGCGATTGCGTAGTCGCCCAGGGCAAGGGTGTGCAGGTGCGGGAAGTGCACCTTCTGCAGCTCGAGCGGGGGAAAGAAGTTGTAGGTCCAGTCGGCAAAGAAGTAGAGCGCGAGATGGGTTAGGTTGGTGGAGGCGGAAGCTAGCCAGTTGGGGAGGAGCATGAAGAAGGGTAGGTATCTGAGACGAGCTTAGCAAACGCGGCACGTAGTCTCTTGATGGAATCTGCGTACCGGTGTTGAAATATGTACGGGCTCCGAAGCCCTCTGTCGCCTTGGCTTCCGATGATGCTGAGCGTGAAAGATGAGACTCGAGTGAGGATAGGCACGTGATCTTCGAGCTCCGTCAAGCTGCGGGGATTTGCTAGGATGTTCTGCAGCGAAATGTGTTTGACGTCACGCGTAAGCGGATCCGTCAGCGCTTTGCAAAATGCTTCCCTGATGGGCCGGCTGAAAGCATAACTCTGCTGTGGCTGAGCCCGCTCACCTGCAATCCAATTCTGAGAGAACCTCAGCATGGCTGCATTCAGGTTCGGAAACTCCTTGAGCCGGCTCAGCGATTGTAGATATTCTTCGCTGACCCCCCGACCCCGTAAATATGCGCGGATCGGTTTCTGTAGCGTGTCAGAGGACCATTTGGAAGCCGAACATGGCCGAGGTCTGTACTAACCACTTCAAAAGTGTCGAAATGCACAGAGCGAACGTGTTTCCTTAGCTCCTCGTGCTCCAGAATCCGGTTGTATCGTTCCACGCTTTCCTGCGGGGCGTCCTGAGGAAACGAGGGATGCACGCCAACGGTCTGGAAGAGAACAGGTGTGGTGATGGTCGAAAGCGTCTTGCAGACGAGGCGTAGGCTTCTGAGCGTTTCAAGGCCATCTTTACGCGCGACGAGTTGCGCGTAGCTGTCTACTTCACCGGACGGCTCCGCTGTGCATTCAACTACACGGCGCAGCAGCTCTACGGGGAGATGGAGCAACTGTAACGCCATCTATATGGGGAATCAACGAAAAATGAAATGAAAAAATCTTGCGGAGGTTTTACACTTACCGTCTAACTTTGGCCCTCAAATCCAGAAAGCGGAGCGCGGACGCGGGATGCCAGCAAAGGGAAAGGTAGCAACCATCAAGGTAAACTTTACTTTTACAGACGCGTCGCGATCGTGTTCCATATCTGGTTGTACGCAGTCACGTTGAAGCGAGATAGAGGACGATGATGAAGGACAGAGCGGGGAATTCGCAACCGTGATGTTGTTGTTGCCTGCGGACCCTCCCATCACGGTTGTAGAGGTCACCGTAGCGCGCTACGGCAGGCGGGTTACGGCGGGCGACACGGCCCAACTGCGGCGAACCTCCGCAAGTCCCAGGAAACTCTGCGTGACTGACCACAAAGAGTAACGTCCGTCACCATCAGGCGGTATTCACAGCCTAACGAGATAATGAACACAGTGCACAGTAGAAGAAGCAAGCTAGTTAAAATACTTGTAGTAGGTATACGCTCTAAGCCCCTTTCCTTCATAGTCAAGGCTTAGACATATAGCTAGACAAGGAGCATTACATGGACACTGCTTGTTCCCTTCTCTATCTCAATAGACGGTGAGACTCGCTTGACCGTGACGAAAGCTATTTTACATTCGTTCCGCTCATAATCTATCCACGTCATCTCCTCACAACTGGCCATGCTATCTCAGTCCATTGCTCCAACCCGAAGCCAGCTCACCTTCCCTCAAAATAAATGGTACATCCGCCGAGACCACTCAACCTCAACGCTCTCCACGCACCGGGGAAGGCATCCGAGGCGGGCAAACGCATCCCCAGACGAACAGGACAGAGTCCCAGAGAAGACAGGACAGGACGACAATGACATCGCCGACAATGTCAAACTGCAAGCAAAACAGCTCCCAACAGAGGGATCCACTCAACCTGATAGTATATTCGGTAAACTCCGGGGGCGTAATTAAGGCGGCAAGCAGCATATCAGTGGCCGCGATGGAACGGAGCGAGAACTCGAGTTGGACTTTCGCAACCTTGTAGTAGTTGATGTTGAAGATGGCGTTTCCGACAATTTTCACAACATACTATAATGCAATATTGGTGTAAGCTCTGCGCTGTCTTTTCACGAGGTTGCGAAGCCCCATTGCTCGGATGCCTACGAAGAAGGGTTGGACGTTTGATACAGTGACCGTTAGGACAGCGTAGAGGGCGAGCATCAGAATGGAGATATCGATGAGAAAGGCGTTTGACGGCATTTTCGCTGGTCTGTCTAGTGCGTTTCGGGAGTGGAGGTTGGTGGTGGGTGGTGAGGGAGAGCGCATCGTGGCGGCGCGATCGGCGTGCTTTACGATGGACAATGACGATGCTTCGTGGCTTCACACAGCTGCCGACTCCCGTCAAGCGAAGCAAACACAGACTGACGGGAACCCGCATGCCGCGTTTGCTCACACCGCAGCTGCGTGAAACTGTTTGAACTTTGCCCAGAGCTCCATGTGCGTTCATTATTTGTTGGAAGCAGCCCCATATGAAGCTTCCAATAAAGCTCCAGTGTAGAGTGTGGAGTTTGCATGTCTGTTCAACCTCTACTCGCAGCATATAAGCCCAATCCCTTCGCCGGCAGCACTATCCACTTCTTGTCCTAAAATCCTTCCAGGAGCTCCACCACATCAACGGAACACCATGCCGATCAAAATCTTCAATGTGGTCCTTGTCGTTCTATCGTCTTTCCTAGTTTGGGCATACGTCAAGCACCTGCTGGAACACATGAAAGCGCATTTGCCGATGCCGACTGACAGGATTTCTCTGGGCGCGATGTTTGCAGTGGCTAGTGGTGCAACGGCCTACAAGGTCGGGCTGATGACTTTCAAGTTCAAATACTTCTGGTCCACCACGACGCCTGAAAAGTTGATAACTCCGGACGCCGCGATGGACGTCGCAACCCTGTTATACGAAGCTTACATGGCTATGGCTCAAGTTTACGCTGTCTGGTGGCTATTCAGCCATGTTCTCATGCTTGTTTTTACGGCCTTCTTTCGCCTTGCCGAGGCGTTATTCCGAATCGTCGCGTATCTCATCTACGAGCCACTCCCGGTTGTGTCCGCCGAGCAAGCTCAGATCGATCAGGCTCCTGCAATGGATTGGCCGTTGTAAGTTCCTGTGACGTATCCTACGCCATGGAGGGAAGCTGACACAGATATAGGTTTGCGAGGTTGTCCAAGTTGTGGGATAGCGATGATCTTAAAACCATCGGAACTTTTGGCGGTCCAGAAATGGCTAACAGTCAAAAAGAAGGCATAGTCCAGCTCTCTTAGAGCAGGCTGAACAGGATGGTCTTGGTAAATTGGAATAACGGAGTCAACGTTGGGTCTTGGCCGAGGCGTTGGGAGTTGATCTGGATTTCTTGAAAGAACACCTGCAACTTGAACACATCTCTGTCTATCCTACCGAGCAACATGATGGAACGGGCTTTGTTCCATCAAAATCAGCTCTCACGCATACTCACTGAAGTACAACATGTATCTCGATGGCGGTCTGTTTTTGTCGTCGTTGATTGGTTTTCAAGCTATTAGGTATGGATGTTACATGAATAACGTCCCAACCAATGGTATCAGAAGTAAGAATAAGGCAAAGAATAGTGCTCTGACTCTTAAGCCGCATAGTCACAACCGTCAACCCGTCTTAAGGAACATGTTGACGAATTCAATTCAAGTGGTTACTTTGTAAAGAAAGAAAGTGAAAAGTTAAAAGAGTGCCCACGGCATAAGCATCATTCCAACGCAAGACCTAAACCTTAAGTACAAAACTGGCTAACACTTTGAAGTGCCAATCCACTGCTGGCGACACTTCCAAGGCTCCAGTCGGCTTGGGCGGCTTTGTTTTAGCCGACTGAGGTATTGCTGGCCCATTCAATTTTCCCTTTCTACCATCGTGTTTTCCCAAGTCGTGAAGTCCAGGCCATTGGCAGTAAAGCGGACAACCTTTTGTACCTTCGGGCCTAAACTTCTCGCAGATCAACACCAAGAGTCTCAGCCTTGCTGGGTCAGCTTACGGTAGTGCGGAGCCACGAAGCCATAGAAGCAAGGGCCGAGGCAGCATGAGCTCATGTCTCATTCTCTCTGCTTACTGCCCGTGACACAGTGAGACGCCTACATTTTCCTTACCAGATAATGTCAAGCCTTGGTTACACCTAGTTCAGAAACATGCGTTAGGCGACCTTGCAGCTCTGTTATGCCACCACGCTTGTAACCAAATCGTTCCGTTGTGGTGCAGAAGTTAGGTATTTAAACCAGCAGTGCACTCCTGGATTTTAGCGTTGGCCCAGTATCTCCGCACCACATAAGACTTTATATCCATTCCGTTATCATTACACCGGGCCTTCACATTCAAATCAACGACAATGAAACTTCTCACATTGTTCGGTGGTACCCTTACACTTGCGACTACAGTCGTCGCTGTAGTGTACCCATGCCATACGCGCACTTCAAACATTCCGTAAACTGCCTATTTACGCTGCTCGTATGTTTAGAAACTATCCTAACCGCCAATAGGGGTCTTGAACGCTTCTGCAAGTGCGCGAACGGCTGCTATGAACGCAGTGACAAGACCGGTTGCGCGCCTCCCAAGAACCCTGACTTGCAGATTTTTTGTCCGTCCTGAGGAACTGGCAGCGGCTTTTCTTGGGGCTGTTATGCGGTTTTTAGGGGGTTCTATAGCTAGTATCGTGTACACGAATGAGTTACTCTCGCGCGCAAGTGTTTGGGCTCCCATGTCGTTCATGCCTGCCATGAATTTTGTGTGAGGATGATTGGATCAAGATCAAAGAGGAAGATAGAGTGTCAGCTGGTCCCCAGTTCCAACGGATCTGACGGGAAATAGGCGAGGTGAACACAAAGAAACAAGGCGCTACGATCATTCGCGCGGATGTTTAACACACTGCAGCAATTGGCGGCGGTGGCGCAAGGACAGCGTTAGGATGGCGCATAGTGATGAGCAACTTCGTTCTCTGGTTGGTGAAGCCTGCTTTGAAGAGCAGTTTTGAAGCCATACACTTGAGGACGTGAATCTTCCAGTGGTGAGAGCTGAGTAGTATGGGACAGTCGGTTTGTGGGTTGGGATTTCGGACAGTTCGACCTCAAAGCCAATGCTCGCCATCCTAGTGTTGAGCACAGCGGGGCGAAGCCTGTCACTGACAATACACCCGCCTCGTAATGTAGGTTCAATGGTTATTTCGAGATCTTCAAAAGGGCCAACATCTTCTCCGCTGCTTTTTCCGACCAAGCATGCCGTGCACAATGCTCTGTGGAGCACTGTCCTTTTCCTTCCACCCACGACACTCCCACAACGCCGCATCTTTCAACTTTCCCATCATGCGTATCAGATCCGTCAGCTCTTGCCTTGTAAGACGAGATCCAGGCGGCCGGCTGGAGAGGAACGAAACCGGTTTCTGCAGAGCCTGCTTCTCCACACTCTTCCAAGCATCATTCAGCTTTTCCCAACGTTCTTGTACCCTCGCCTCGCATAGCTTCACCTCTATTCTTCTTTCCTTCTTCGAAGATGCGGTGGGTTTTGTAGCTCCAAAGGCCTTCAGTGTATCTTCCTCCGCCTTGAGTATCATGAAGAGCTGCTCTACGCCCATTACGGCGGCTTGTGGTGAGAGTGGTGATTGCGGGATCGTTGTTTCTGGACTCTTTGTCGAGGACAATGACGTCGCATGTGCGACAGGGAGGCTGGTGGTGTTGTTGATGATTGAGGAGAGGAGGATGCCGATGATTGCAATCATCACTACTGTATACATTACATTTATTGAAGGACTTGGTGGTGCCATTGGGTCGGAGGTGCTTAAGCGGCCGCAAGTGACGTTGTCAGATGTACTGGCAAATGGCTTTGTAACAGATGAAAACTGTTGGTCGGCTCAAACGTTGTAGCCGGTCTGCTTGTAGGCGACAGCAAGGTGGTGGGTGCGACAAGTAGTACTCAAACTGCTGTGGCAAAACGTTAGAAGCGGAGATAATCTAAGGGAATGGGTAAATGAACAAAAAGTCGTCCTCTCTCAAATATTACCAAGATACTGCGAAAATCCAAGCCCTCATAAACGGCTGTCTTATTTCCGAGTTCGTACGTTCGGGACTTTCGTCTCCATGGGCTTCCTTTGTTGTAGTGGATATGACGTCTTCGTCGCTTGTCCGTCCACAGCTCTTGGCAGGGGTAGCATCCTTCATTTTTGGAAAAGGCTCTTTGTCCTGATCGCTACGACTTTCTCAACTAGTCTTTCCCCACCGATAGTCATTACCACGGAACACGGTGGTTGTCATGTCGGGAGCGGATTTCTCGCGAAGCCATCGCTACCGCTGCCGCTGCGGCTGTCGCTGTCATGTCGTACACTGCAAGCGAGTTGTATGTAGAGTCGTTGAAGGCTGAATGCTGTGGTGATGTGCGCGGAACCTTCGATAGAACCTTGGTTTTCGATCAGCGGTTATTGCTCTCTCAAAAATTCGCAGTCAAACGCGGAGCGTAATGGCGTTGGCGCGCAGCAGGCTGCAATTTGCAGTAGTTGAGATCGATGGGCAGCGAAGCCAGGACAAATGCTGAGGGAGGCGAGGCGGAGATCTCTGATAGGGGTGGGTTTTTCTAAAGACTGAAGGAGAGGTGATGGAGGGCTAGTGGGAGGGGGAGCCAAAATCGAAGTGTACTGCGGCATGCTTCGTCCCGGTCTTGAAAGCTGAAGCAACGAACGAGAACCGCGACAACGAGAAGCGGCAGCAGGGATCGGAGTGGAAAAAAAAAGAAAAGTGAGCGAGCTCCAAACAACGGCGAACGCAACACCATCTCCGCAAACCAGACCAGTAGACAGACCATCAGCGCAATCCACCAGCACCAACACATCTGATGCGCAAAATCGCGAGCCAAGTAAGTTTTCCCTCATCCCTGGCCCAGACAAACGTCGCACTGACCAACGAAAACAGATGACCCTACCACGCTGAAGCGCAACACCACGACACCCGCACCGAAATCGCCACCGAACCACCATCCGACCTGACCCCGCAGCCGTAGCTGACACAGCCCGCCCTGTCGCACCAAGCTTCCCAACCGATCCACTCCTTGCGTAAGGGTGGGCACCGCTATTCCGGGTAAGGAAAGTCGATCGACGACGGCGGCGCGCTAGACGCGACGGCGTGGAGCGGGACGCGGGAATGGGACGCCTGGCGCCGGACGTCCACGCTTGCCGACAACACGACCATGGCGGCTTTGTTGCATACATACAGTATGGAGGAGCTGCGGGCGCTGGGAGATGCGATGACGCTGCTGAAGCCTGAGGGTCGGAATCACGTTGTGGGTGGAGTTGCTGTGTGGGCCCATTGCACATCACCACGCGCAAGACGACCGGATTTTCTTAAATCTCTGAGAACCCGAGCATGGGGTCCTGCAGCACGGCCGCTAACGAGATGGTTTTCAGCTAGAAATCGTTAATCATTGCCGCAGCCCTCTTGCGTCAGCCTCGAAACCTCACCAGCTTCCTACGTATCTTCTCCTTTCATACCAAGGCCGCGACACCATCCAATTCTGGCAGCGTAACACCCGGCGCTCTACAAGCATTACGACGCGCCTTGGTAAAAAGCGCCGGGGCCTCCCGCACCGCCAACGGTCGTCACGCCCCTCATCTGGAGCAACGCACTGGGACGGAGTACAAGCGGCAGAAGCCGATTCAGATCGAAGCGCTGCGCAACAGTGGCGTGCAATGCGTATTACACACGCCGTAGTATGCTGGTCAGAACGAACCGTCGCGCCGTAGCGCCGCCGCCCACGCCGCAAGGCGGGGAAGAAAGGTCAGACCATTGGGAAGGCGGGGTTCGGCACGATGGGGAAAGCTCTGGAAAGAGCTACAAGACGGCGCCCTGCACGGCAGTGCTGGCAGCAGTTTGCTGTGTATGGAGGAAAAGGAGTGATGGTTTTGCGCACCGTGAGGATTGACTTTGCTGGTTGGCTCGCGCCAATGCAACGAAAACGCGGCGCGCTGCTGGGCCGCCAGCGCCCACTCGCAAACCCACAGTATACCTAGGTGACCAGAAGTCTGCAAAGTCATTTTCAAGCACAGAAAAATGGAGATCTTGCGACGTATTCGCACAGTCCAAACGGCTAGGCTGGACTCCCCAGTACTCACCGGACAACGACCCAGCGCATCCCCACACTTCACAACCCGCCACAAAAACCGACACCCCTTCCCGCGCCCCAGCGCACCACACACCAAACCGTACATCCAAAACTCCCATCTCCGACCAGCCCAACTTACGCACCCGCAAGCGCAAGTGCCGCCTCCTGCCGCCACCTCAGTACCCCAATTTCCGCGCCGCCTGAAGGTGCGCGCTTCATCGCGCGGATCGGGGCACGAGGCAGAGCCGTGCCGAGTGATGTGCGCTTCTAGGCCCGGAAATTTTGTAGAGATTATGGCCTGTAGTGGTGGATGATCTTGGTTGTTGGGGCTGTGAGAGGCAAGAGGCAGTGCTACATGCGGGAGTACCTGAGAGGAGGCTTCAACGGAGCGTGGGACGTGGAGCGGAGGGCGTGTTGAGCGATGACCGTCACGTCATGGTCACAGAGAACCAGCATAGTTGGGAGCGTGCGTGCGGCTCTTGTGCGCTGTGCTCGTTTGTGCTTCGGAGAACAGTGCATAGTTCGGACAGCCAGCATCCAGAATTAGTGTGATAGCACTTGCCTACTATCAGGCGCGATATATGGCCGCGAATTGTCCCTCTTCACGCTTGTAATTTCCTCTGCTTCCGTTGACAAGCACATTGTCCCTGCTGCTCCTTGTCTGGCTTCATCCCGTGAATAGAAGACAAACTCCTCTGGCCCATCTGTGTATTGTGTATCTCGTGCGACTTCGTACTCTGCCGACGGTACCACCAGTTTGTTCGAGGGCTCCTATACGACTTTTGAGGTACCTCTTATATCCTACCCATGCCCCCTCGCGGGTGCAGGGCAACGAAGACCGCACACTCGCAGTGGGAGCGACTAGTGCATCTTGGGATGCCTCGCTTTCGCGCGTTGTCTATGTAGCTGGAAGCCAAGGGTCGTCGAGGCGTCCAGACGGGCTCGCTGTTCGAAGAAGCTATGGGAAACTGGGAGGGTTTTATGAGGTTTAGGCTACGCAGGATGAGGCTATACTGAAGATGTAGGCGAACTTGATTAGGTGGAGGGAGCAGTGTCGGATGAGGATTCGTGAGAAGGACATGAAAGGTTGACATGGGTCGGTGATTGCGCATATGGTCTGTTTACAGCCTAGCGATCTGACGAGCCGAAGAGACAGATGGCAGCGTAAGCTGTTGGTGTTGTTATTGAAGACGTTCTTGTGCAGAGAACTACTCTTGTGCGTAATTGGAAAGTCACAGAATCTTGATCATAAAGCGTTGGTGGATGGAAGGGTTGACTTCCGTGGAAACACGCGATGACATAGGAAGCACGGGATGGATGTCGCGGTCAGGTCTCTGCGAAAGGGCATACACAGGCGCAGATAGCGCATTTGCAATCCAGTACAAGGCACCATCTATATAATTTGTCGCAGCGAGCTGTTAGTCAGAACAGTACTGGTCGTCTGGCTTAGTGGCAATTCTTAAAAGTTCCATGTACTTGGTCTTCAAGTTGTTACAACCTGGAGATCTTAAGTTCGAACCACAGTGTCTGATATAGTTTACTATTCACTACACTGGGGAAACTCGGTACCCGAGTTTATAGGGCTCCTGGCCTGACTTTTTGCTTCGCAGACTTTAAATGTTCGCAAAATAATTTTTATATTTTTTTGCTCTCTATCTATAACAGCCGCGAACTAAATGCTGGCTATACATTAAATGAAACCTATTTTGTCTTTTTTAAGAACTAGGAACTTTAGAGAACGCGCCGGGAAGAGAGCTACACGGAGTTGGTGGCGCTGGCTTTTGGGCCCCGTGATGCAAGACAGTGACACCGTGACAGGCGCGGAGATTTGTGGTGGGCTCAGTAGGAGTAGCACTGTAGAGAGTAATATCTAGAAAGGTCGGAAAGCGCTTTATCGCGAGCGAGGAATATGGTTCAGCCAAGTGGGAGGGTAAAGGTGGTCAGCTCGGAACGGGCACTGACCGCATGGCTCCCTCGGCGGATCACTTTACCAGTCCGCACTCGAATTTCACGATCATAAATCAAATCATAGCCCAGATGCACGGGGCAATGAGTAAGGTGCTGTTTCTGATGGATACCCTTCTTGGTTGTGCAGGTGTCCTTGACGGTCATCATGTCCTGGAAGAGCCCGCGCGTCAGCTCAACCGTCACGACCGCATCTCGCTCCAACTCGTCCCAACACCACACATCCGAAGGCTGCTTGCAGGCCAGGGCATGGAGATTTTAGCCGATGGTGGCGGTGATGATGTGGGTTGTGGAAGTGGTGGTGCCGGGAGAGCAGTCGATGCTGCTGGGTGAAGCTCGAGAGGCCCCTCTTCGTCCGCTGATGCTATGCTGCTGGAACTGTTACCGGCGAAAATCACGCTGGCTGCAAGAGGATGCGTCTTTGTCGCGTTTTCGTAAAGTGCAGGGCGCGCCTTGGTCAGGTACGGTCGGAAGATCCGCTGATTACTTAGGCTCTGGGAAGCGCTCCAGGTTGCTAGACTAGATTCAGGATCACGGGTCAAGAGATGCTCTTCTGGTTGTTGGTTCCGATGGGTTGGAGGCTGGGTAGGCAGTCGGGAGCAAATATCTACCTATGCCTAGGTGCGCACTGGGAGGCGCCACAAGCAAAACGTCATGGTGCCTGACAGCTGTGGCGCGTTGGGACGCCACACCGACGCTTCATCTTTAACATATCCCCTTCACGGGCAGTGCGTAGAACTTTCTTTTACAGGCCCTTCCCTCATTCGCTTACCAAATACCCGCCTATAAAGCCGCCAGCCCTTTTCGCCATGAAACCTTCTCTCTCTACCCCTCAAGCTCTGAGGTTGCTACCGCCTCCGACGACGCAAACGCCAACGCCCGCCTCATATCGTCATAACTTTCAACAGCATCAGACCTGAGCAACATCCACCATGGAGGCCGATAACGACAACGATATGGACACTGGATTTAGGACTCCTAGGAACAGGCGCACCATTGCCAACGAGGGTAACAACAGGGCTCGATCGACACTGTTCATCAAAGTGCTCTCTCTGGCATTCTTCGCCAAGTTGGCGCTTGAGGTTTTTCTTTGCAGGAATACGGTCGGTGACCTCCATTCCATCGTCAACTTCAACGCTTCGAACCCGCTTCAGCCCATTCCAATTGTTCAGCTGGATCCTGTTCCAGTTGCTGAGGAGCTTTGGAAAGAGTACATCAGAGAGAATGATGATGGGTTGATCCTTGAGCCCTTCAACTGGACCCGCATCAGCAAGACTATCTGTCAGACCATGTCAAGCTTCAAGAATCTGCGTGAGGATATCAGCTCGTACAGGCCGAAAGATAACATGTCACTTTTTCTGTATGAACGTTTACAGGACCGACTTGCCGAAGAACACCCTAAATTCTTACAGCTCGAAGAGGCTCTACGCAACCGTCTTGAACAAGTCGAAAACCTGGATAAACTGGCCTTTAGAGACTCAAAATATATTTCTGGATTGAAATCCTCGGACCTGACCACCTTGAACCAAGGTAGTTCCTCCATTGAGCTAATCATGAAGGCCATCATCTCTTATTTCGACCTTGAAGACGTCTCGTCTATCTGCTCTAACGAGACCTTACAAACGTTGGTTCTGCGAGGAGATACATGCTTTCTCGGTCCCAATCTAAAACCTTCCGCCGCAACTATGATCGCAGAAGTTACCGAACCTGGGAGTACGTTGAACTCAATCGTCGAATATCTACAGTTCAACAAGAAAATGGTCGATATTCTACTTGCCATGAAGCGAACGCAAATCTACAAGGACATTCACTGCTTGGAACCTTGGCGTATGGAAGAGATACATGAGTGGTATAAGTTGTTTTGCAACAAGGTCAACAGTGTCACAGCAATCGGGGCTTGGCTTTTGCCGCGTCTTTTACCGAACTCGCTCTTGGAATATCAGCTGCGGAAAGAGAGGATTGCCGAAGCATACAACCACGTCGTCAGGATCGAAACTAGGCGTCACATTATCAACGTCGTTCTCAAGCTTGCTGTCAAAGAGCTGCAGGAAGACCTCTTATCAGTTCGGGAGACCTTCCTTCAGTGCCAGCACCATTGAAACTGTCAGACCTACAAACAGGATTGAGTTCCTTATTAGAGGCTGTGCTTCTCTTAGCCTTGGCTAACTGAAACTCAACCAACTTATCGACGGCAAGTTGCGTTGGGATGTAGTGGATAGAAAGCTAAGGCACAGTCTTTGAGACGCCAAAACAGGTTCTTTCCTGTCAAGGAAGCTCAGGTATGAGAAACCTCTTCTTCTTTTCCTTCAATGCCTCTCCGACACTTTGTCCGCTCCAAAGGTGCTAAACCCAAGCGTCATCCGGGAGCTGTAAAGCATACTTTGCTTCCTTCGACCCAAGTGGCTCTACAAAATTCCAAGCAAGTTGCTAATGCATTTCCGAGCAGTCTTTCTCTTTTTCGAAAACCCTCCGTGGCCTGATTTCTCTTCCGGGCTCTTGGTGTTTCCTGGTCTATTTCCTCTACGTCCACAGCATTATCTTGCGCTTCATTGAACTGAGGCAGCACTCTCCGAACCTTTTTTCCATACTCTGTTACTACTCGGTTTTTCTCGGACTGTTTGGCGACCTTCAATAAGTTAGGGGTCTACATTGCCGTTCCGATTGCGCTTTATGCTGCTGGTAGCTTCACCGTGGCCCTACTCAGCGCCTGGGCTTAGTGCTGGCGGCTGGACTGCACATCAGCTGCTCTGGTTCGGGTTCTGTGGAAGCTTGGACATCTCGGGAAAGGGTTTCGTTTGTTTACATCCAGATTTTCCGTGGTTTACGGGTGCTTAGCGTTTGATGTACGTTTCTCACTAGGTAGATAGCAGTAATGACCGGTCAAGACTCATAGTATGTAGTCACAGCTCATAATCAGCTCTCACCTCACTCCTCCCAAGTAAATGCCCATGTGAAAAACTGCAAGGTGAGCAGCATCTCCTCCTGGTTTCGAAGCCTCCGCAAGCCCCAACTCTGTAGATTATCCTTGCCATCATCCGATGCTTTGACACTGGCCCAGCAGGGAGATATCCGTGAAGATGGAGGCGCCGAAGAACCATCTCCCGTATGACCCGGCCATGAAAGCATTCTTCCTCGCTTGCGGGTGCGTCTTAGTTCGGTAGAAAGGTTGCAGAACTGCAAAACCACACCCGACCAGCCAGTATTCTATGCACATATGCACAGCACGAAGCCAACAAATTATAGAGCGGCACTGGTGCCGGTATGCGGTATCGGGCGTAGGCCGCGTAGGTATGGAGCGGCGTGGTTGGCTCGAAAGCGACTTCGGTCAAGAGGGCCGGGGGGCGTTTGCGTTTGCGTTTGCGTTGATGAGGTCGCGAGGACCCTGATCCTACGTGGGTGCACTGTCAGTATTAGTGTTGCTTTCATTGTGTTGGTTAGGAACGTACAAGTCATTCACAGCAGCATGCGCGCCCGCGGCGTTTGAGAGAGGCTTCTGAAGTGACCGGCCTCCGTCGCCGTTTGTACCTAGGCGGAGCGAAAGCGTACCGTCGGGGCGGGCGAGCGAGCCGCTCTGTTTCGCTTCCCGTCGGGACAGCGTTTCAGGGCGAGAGTGTCGGGTCCTTCAATCTTGTTTTTGTTGTTGGGGAGATGGGATAGGGTCTGGTTGTTGGGGTTGTCGGCTTGATTGGGATGGGAGATTCACGCACTGTTGCGATGGATGATGGGTCTTGGAGTTAGGCGTTTACATGTCTATCTGCTTGCCATACCGCCAGAAAACACTCCAACCTTTTGAATCCTCGCCAGCTACTTCTAATGGTTCCTCCCTGCTGCTTGTACTATACGACCTTGCCCCTCCTCGGACCCATCATCACCTTTGCAATGTGCGTCGCCTCGTTCGTGGCCGGGTTTGCCGTCAGCCAGCCACTTGACAATGCTGTTTTAGCTCACGCACGCCGCCTCGTCCCCTCCTCCGTGTATGCGCTTGAAGCGGTGACTTCATTGCTCGTCGCTACGACGCCTCCATGCTTTCCTACCGCTCCTCCGACTCAGCGACCGGAGTTTTGCGTCGGTGCTTTCGTCCTCTTGGTCCACCTTTCTCATCGATCCGGGTACCGCAAACAGCAACAACACTGGTCGCGATCGTTATGGACGGGCTCCCTGTCCGGATGGCCGCGTTGCTGAAATCCTTCACAAAGACAACGACTTCGCCTCCGTCGCTGGAGACGCGGTAAACGGTCATGGAGTGCGTGGGCGAAGTATTGACGGCAGCGTTTGCCATTCTTCCCATCCGTTCTTGATGCCTTGCAGCTACGGCAGTGGCGGCATTTGCTCCAGCTTCCACTGGCCGTTGGTGGTCGTGGCAAGGTGGTGATGTCTGTCGCGGCGGCGGTGCTCGTGCTGGTACTGTTGCTCGGTATGGTTAGCAAAGAAGAGGAGCCCGTCGGGATCGTGCCATCGGATTATTACCCGTTTAACTATTCTGCCAACGCTATGTAGCCCGTCATTGTGACCGTAGAACCTAGCGATGTCAACAAGACGGAGGAGCTTGGGTTGCGTTTGGAACGGCGGATTGCTGGTAGGGAAGATTGTCGACTTAATGGATTTGACAAGCACTTCACAATCGGGAAAGAATTCATAATGCTACTTTCTATCTACAAGGTCACTGCTCGGCCTACAAAGCCGTGGGTCATGAAAGCCAGCAGCTCTTGATGTTGCAGTAATCACTTCCTGCCCTTCTCTAAGAACATGAAGCCAAAATCTATCCGTAGCCCGCACCATTAGATATTTTCCGTCTACTTTGATCAGTGAAAAAGAGGAGAATACCAGGGCGGAGGTCTTCCCGATGACCTCCAAAGAGGCAGTGCAGGTGTTCGCCGTTTTTCGAGCGGGGAGCGCGCGCCGTGTGTGAAACATCCAGACGGGGCGCCGCTCTCCCTCTGTCTCGGCGAACTCTTCCCTCTCCTCGCCTATAAAAGCCTGCTTCTTTCGCCCTTCCTCTCTCTTTCTTCACCCTCCAAGCTTCAAACTTTATCGGGGTGGTCACCTCGCATATCAAACGAAACCCCATCACCATCATTTTGTGTCATCATTACTTACCTCCATCAACCCTCAATCATGGCTGGCCAGTGCAAGGGTGTCACTCTCACGAAGAGTCCTTGTTGCAAGTTCGCTGCTGCGGGCTCTGACTATTGCAAGCACCATCAAAAACAGAGTACATCCAATCCTCTCCCCACATGCCACAGCTCAATTCTAACAACTCTGAACACAGCAATCTCTAACAACGGCGATCGTACTCGCGGTCCGTTCAGCCGCAGAAAGTTCGTGAAAGCCGTAGCCAAGGCCGTCAAGATTGCAACGCCGTACCTAGCAGAGGCGCTGAAGATGCCGCAGCTGGAGGAGAAGCAGAACCAGTACCATAAGATGACGGTTCTGGTGACCAAGTTCATGCAGATGTCGAATGTGGGATCAGAGATGCAGAGCCAGCTCTGGACTCATACCCATCAGGTTCTGACTCAGCATGCACTGCCGACCATCGAGCAGCGGGTGCAGCAGATCAACCAGCTCCGGGCCTAGGTGATGATGCTGAGCCACCAAACGGCTGTTTTTCACCAGGCTCTGAACGCGGCTGCTGGTAACGGCCCCGTTCAAGGTCATCCTATCGTCCAGCAGGGCCAGCCGCCGGCTTACGCCCCTCGCGATCCCGCTGTCGCTGCTGCCATTGTCGCTCGCGATGTCCCAGCTATTGTCGCTCGTGCTGCTGCCGCTAGGGCTGCTGCAGTTCGTGCTACCGCTGCTCATGTCGCCGCTGGTCAGGCTGCTGTTCTAGCTGCTGTTCCACCTGCTGCACCGGCTGCTGTTCCGGCGGCTGTTGTGGCTGCTGCTGAGGCTGCTGTCCAGGCCGTTGCTCCTGCTCCTGCTCCTGTTAACGCCGGCAAGTAGGCAACGGTCGTGTTTCAAGCAGCTGTCGGTGAAAAAGCGTCGCACTGGTCCTTATGAGGCCATAAAAATGTGTGGGCAATAAAGTGGCAATCAGATTGACACTGGTTTTTGAGCGGCGGCCTGCGGATTGAAGGTGATCATACCCGTGGCGAAGTAATGGACTTGAGTATTTGCTGTTGCTGTTGTCAGCTAATGTCATGTCATGATGGTAAAACGTACGTAGGCTTACTGGAGATATCAAATTGAAGTTGTTGTCGCAATCGCGTTTTGCCAGCCCCCTCCCAGTGGTCATACAGAGGGAGGCAACGTCTGAATTCATCACAAATTGGAAGGCCAAGCCTTGTTTGTGTCAAATGCGACAGACCCTGCTCTGGTTGCAAGGCGCATTTATATCCGCCTCGATGAGTCGTCCAATCACGGCCTGCTAAGGCTGAAGGAGCATGACCTGCTTGTTGTAGTATTACACCAGCATCAGTATATGACTTACTTACCTACCCACCTACAACCGAACCTCTATACATCTAGGACGTTGGCAGGAGGTAGAGTCAAAGCCACCCACAACAACAGAAGAGGTGCTTCGTAAGTACACGAAGCCTGAGCCCACTGAGGACGAAGGGAAGAGCAAACCGGTCCAATGTGCAAAGAAATCATCCAGGCCGTTAGTGACTCTTCCATCCGCGCGACTTGACCCGCCATAGCGATGTGAACACCAAGACTTCACATGGAACTCATAATCATCAGGCTTGACAGCACTTCAGCATTCCCTTTCTTCCGGTTTTGCAGCTCCATGGGCCCCCCGTCAACCTCCCAGCACGAATGGATCCAACGTCGTGTTCTCCGCGACCAAACAGTGTTTCGAAGGCATGTTGCAAGAGTGTAAGCGGTATGTTGAGGTCTTTAAAAGCAGAGTCGATGGGAGTCTTCGTTCGTCATCTCGATGATGAGAAGTACGCGTGGCGCGAGGCGGGCTGGACGGAAAGCCGGGTCGCCAAGCGGTACGCGGTCGGCTAAGGCTGGACAGCCGGCGGGGCTGGTGGTGCGAGGCACGATGCGTGATGGCGATGCCGCAATGCGGCCGTGGATGCAGGCTTGAATAAGAATAAGGAGTCTTGGAGGTTTGAATAATGTTGACGTTGGTTGTGTGGAACGACGACGCGAAGAATCCCACAATCCCGAGACGCACTCTGCTTTTTTCAAGTGGGGGAGATGCGCCGCCGTTGTCAGAAAAATTTGAGCACAGCACCGTTCTGCTTCCAGAAACCTGCCGCCATCGCAATCTCATGACACCCCTTCTCGTCTCATCCATTTACCCCGTATTTCTTCGTGCATCGACTTCCTGCAGCACTGTCCACGATGTCCACTCTCGAAGTTAGGTACGGGCCGCGCCGCGGGCCCGCTCGCGCCCTGGAAAAGTCAGCTTCTCCCCACAACACAAGTCATCGCGTCTGGACCGATCTGGGCGAGCGAATACCGCGATGATCTTGTTTGAGACCTGATACATTGGCGATGGTTGAGTTGCGGTCCGGAATAGGAAGCTAATTTGGAGATACTGCAGGAAGAAACCCGCCTGAGCTGTTCATGGCATCCTTGCCTGAGTACAAGCCATCGAGGTTAGGATGGAAAGCTCTCGTGGAGCCCCCTCCTATCCTTTCTGTGACAACAGCCTCTGCCGGATCGATCCAAGGGCTTGACACTACCCGGGCCGAACCGTACACATACCTACCGTCTGGAAACGATACAACCTCGGATCAGCATTGCCAAAGGTGATACCAGCTGGTCCATCATAGTCGCCAATCGCATTCGTTTTTATAGATGGATCTTGGTCTCTCTACTCCGGTGCTGTACGAAGATCCCAGAAGCCATCGAGGCGGGCAACATTATACCGCGGATGTTTTGGACAATCATGACGATATTGAAGCCATGTCGATAGCGGGCTTGGAATACAGCGTTTTGGGATGAAGGAAAACAAGTAGTGGGTTTGTCGCGCCCGTGGCGAAGACGCGGACGTACGCACCGTGCAGGACTTGATGGGAGGGGCCCGATAGTGGCCGTTCGCCAACGGAAGACGGACAACGTTATCGTCACATCGCTATTCAGATAGCTCAATCACGGTAACGAATGCTTTTCAAGCTCTTTTCGTGCATGACGATGTAGCCACACCCATAGCCTCCCATCCTGCCATTTGCTGACCATCCCTGGACTGATCTTCGCAATCCGCCCTAAGCGAGAAGCTTAAAAATAAGCTTCCCCACGCCATCCTGCGGCTCCACCAGATGGGCAAAACATTGAACGTCTGGAACGGAGCAATACCCGCACCGGAGGAACTTCCGGAGAGCGCTGATCTTGGATTTTATTTTGCAGGATTTCAACAGGCTCTATTTTTTCCATAGTAACGACCGGCCACCGCGGCTTCTAAGCCAAGAGGCCGCGGGAACTTTCGATGACAACGGCTGCCTGGTCGCCTTGAATACCGGAGGCGCCAAAACATGATGTCCGATAAGCGAAAATCTTCCGCGGTCGAGCCAAAGGTTTTAGCTTACAGTAGTTTTTGGAAAATACTCTGCCTTCCCTCAATGCCATTTAAGTGCCAATGCTTTCGCCGCAAGAGTAACAGTGGCACCGATGATGCTTGCGATGAGCGGAAAACCGTGAATAGATCGTCCTGCCTTCCCAAGCCACGTGTCCTCTTGAGCTGCGAAAAGATAGTCTTTGGTTTTCTTGGTTGTCCCGCGGAGTCGGACTTTGGCCGGTACTTTCGCACTGTCTTCAGTATTGCGGTCATCCTGATATGATCCCGCCCCACCACCACACTTGACACGTAAGCACAACCATGTAGAACTTCTGGGGTGGAAAGTTAAGTCTGGTTTTAACTACTTTGTAGGCATGGAAGAGCTGCACCGACGCACTCTTAAAAGGAGGACAAAAGAAACAACGAAAGAGCAAAGCATCCGGACACCGGGACCTTCTGGGCACTACACATTTCTCCGCCTCCATCACCAGCTTGCGTATTGCCTCCACCACGACAGTGTCAATCGGTTACATGCTTTGGCCGCAGTAGTCCTTGATGAACTTCCACAGTGCTATCGCGTGTTAGGACAAACTGTAACATTGATGGCTACCAGCTTATGGTAGGAAGCTTGAGCGGTGCGAAACTTACAGTCGCGCGCGGCATACTTTCTTCAGAGCCGCACTTCTCAAGCCCACATTCATTGAGCTGGTCCCTGATCCACTTGCGGACCTTGAGCCGATCACGGAAGCAAAATTGATCGCGTGTCACTGCTCTCATATCAACCTCGGAGTAGAACGATGTCATGCATTCTTTGATGCATGGCACGACCTTTGATAGGTCTTTGTCGAGCTTGGAAAAGTACACGTCATCCTGGTTCTCTTGCGGAGAAGGGACTGCTTGGCCTATAGCAGCGAGGGCTACAAGAGCGAGGTGGGAGATGCGCATGTTGGGTGGTAGTTTGAGCGGATAAAAGTTGAACTAGGTGAAATGGAATCTTAACAATGAATGGAAAGAGCAGGGCAGGGCCTTTTATACCGACACCATGCAGAGAGCTACACGGCGGGATCCCTGGCTCCAGTTCATGGAGCCACAGTTCGCGAGGAGTACCGAACTCTCTCCCATGGCCAACTTCCACTTCACCCAAGCTTATGAACTGGGCGCACACCCGCGTCTCGCCAGATTGAGGGGTAGTATTTTTCGACACGTAGCGGAAATGAAGAGGTAATTCATAGCGCACTGAGCGACACCAAGGAGTCTTTTCCGCTTTGTCTCGCCTATTTATATGCTCCTTCTGCCTTCTCATTTTACTCCTCACCGTCTTCCTCGTCATTCTCCAATGACTTTGCTACCTTCTTCTCCCACTTTCTATCTTGGGGCAAGCCGCTGATGCCCTCCCCGTCGGGCCGTCTTCTACCGCGTCGTCTTCAGTTTCGTTCTCTCGAAAATTGGCTACGTCCTTCTCCTGTTTCACCATCACAACGGCGACCTGTTGTTCACTATCACAACAGCGACTTGCTGTTCGCTATCACAACGGCGACCCGTTGGTTACTATCACGATGGCGACAACGGCAAAATGGAAGCTTCCCCGCATCCCTCCGCTCCTCGCTCGCTCCGCAATGTCTTGCCCGTTGTTCTCGGGTGGCTCATCACCTTGATTTGTTAGTCATCAGCGAAGAATCGCTTCTATCGTAAATGAACCATTGCCTTCTAGACTGGCATGGCAATGGCTGACATGGAGAATAGATGGTGAGGAATGTGGCCTAGTCATGATAGGTCACGACGATATCCATGTTCCCAGAGAAGGGGCAAAGCTTCCTGGATCAATGGGAGTTACCAGGTCGCTTTAGGATGACTCACTATCTGAAGAGTCTGAATCGGATACTCCTGATGACTCGGAGAGCGCAGATAACGGCAGCAAGGCCACGCAGGAGCGAACCAGCGTCGCGCTCGATGACTCCATCCAAGTGCTGGCAACTGAGCTCGTGGACGCCCCCGCCTCGAAAGCCCAGCGCGAGCAGGCCGAGGCCGCGAAGACACAGGCTCCAAACGTCCCCACCTATCAAGCCAAGCGCGCGGAGACTCAGACCAAGAAAGTTGACACCAGAGAGAAGAGCAGCAACGACAAGAAGGGAACTAAGAGTGCCTTTAACCACATTATCCAAAGCCTTGGCTATGCTATTCTCCCTGACCCTCTCCTGTAGTCCGCTACCACAACGGCGACGACGACACCATGGAAGACTCCCCACGTCCCTCCGTTCCCCGCTCGCTTCGCGAGGTCCTTCGAGTTGTCAATTGGGTTTGCTACCTTCTCCCTCATCTCGTCTTGGGACAGGCCGCTGGCGCCCTTTACTACTTGGTACCGCTAGGGTTGGCAGGAGAATCTGCAGCAGTGCGTCGCTTTCGGTCAGTTCTTTGGTTGTGGTCCCCACTCCATGGCTAGTGGCATAGCCATAGTCATCCTCACAACCATTGCCGAGTTCTGCTTCGCCGTGCCCTGGTACTGGCTCTTCGTGCCCTGGTACTGGCTCGTCGCTGTGGGCTTCATCCGCACCATGTGGCCCGCTGGCATCTGCGGATGAATCGCGCCCAATCAGACAGCTATCGACCAGGTTTCCACTGACGACGACGACCACAACGACGACGACATTATGGAAGCTCCTTCGCCTTCTCTCTCTCCCCACAGGCATCTTTCTCCTTCTAAAGGTTATTGGAGAATGTGTTCCAGTCCTGTATTCGGCCCTGTTCTCCTCTGCTTCATACTCCTCCACTCTGTTCTCCTGCTGGAGCTTACCCGAGAGTAAACGGGAGGACATGGTCAGCCTCCGGAGAACGCACGTCTTGCAGGCCGATCATGTTCAGGAACGGCCAGATCATTCCTGAAACCGAGCGGGCGATCAGGAGGGTCCCGATCACCATGGCTATTCCGTAAGCCATCCCCCAGGTTGCTCTGCTGTCCCTCCAAAACCAGATGCTCAAGGCAATCGTGACAATGACGTGGACAGGTAGGAAAAAGAGACCCAGGAGATAGGCCTTTTGGGTGGGAGGCAACGCCCGAAGAACTGCGAATGACGAGCCCTGTCAGGCATCGAAATCTGGCACTTGTCGCACCACCACGGCCGGTGGTGGTGTCGCTGGGGGTGGGGACGCGGTGCCGCAAGCAAAGAAGGAGGCGAGCCCAAGTCGACGTCGCTGTGGGTATCGCTGGCGATGGGAGTAGGATGGCGCACAACCAAAAACTGAGTCCGAGCCAACACATCCATGCCCGCCGAATGGGACGCCAGGAAGTAGAGAGCGGCAACAGCTGGTGGCGCCAGCCTCCGCCGAGGCATACAGCCGAAGAACGAGCTGTGATCGACGAACGAAATCGCGCAGGCTCCTCCGCTGGCAAAGAAAAACCAGAAGCCAGTGACATGAGCATGAAAACCACAGGCTTCATGACCGGGTGTAAGGATGTTGAAGTCGTTGTCGCCATCGAGCTGACATGCTTCCGCTGACCCTGAACTGTGTATGTACCGCACCCTATAGCTCCCTCCAGGGCTGTCGCGATGCGTCGGTTCCGTGTGAGGATCGGTGGTGTCGGAAGCTGAGGCTGAAAAGGCGCGCGCAGGTGCTTGAAGCAGGTCAAGGCGAGGCGGCATGCGCGTGGGTGCGTGAAGCCTGGGGTAGCTGAGTGATCGTGCGCTGCATGTGCGGTGGAAGTGACGTGGTAGAGGATGTCCGCTCGGTGTTGGCGCTTTGTGTTGTGATGTGTGGTTTCAGAGCAAGCAGTGGAGGAGTCGTGGGCGCGTGAGCAGCGAGTGCTGAAGAGTCGTGGCTGTCAGCGGCGCGCAGAGCGGTCTTTCCGGCGGTCGCGGTCGTTGATTGCGCATGATTGATTGTCTCACGAGCGCATAATCAAAGACGATTGCCTTCTGTTTGAGGTCTCTCCGCTATATACTGCTCTCGGTGCTGTTTCTTATGTAAGCCGCTGACTACCGGCTTGTCGTTGCCAGCAGCAGAGCCTGCACCAACATCCAAATCCCCAGAAGACTCGCTCGAGATCAACACGCATCCACTTACGAACGTAACACGTATCCACCCATGGACCACTCGGACCAGAGTCCCGCACTGTTGGACTTTTGCCGGAACAAGATGCGGTACTTGTGATTGTCCCACCAGCTAATTTAGGTAGCGAAGCCCAATACACGATAGTGTCTGTTTCGTGAGCCTCCGATGCCCTCCTCTTCATGGGCTTTAGTTGAAGACAAAAAAGGCTTTACCACGGCCGTCCCGACAAAACATTTAGGTTTGTTGGTGAGCCGTGGCAGATCTACTCGCTTTTTGGGCTTCAGCGCGGCGAATCCACGGAACAGAGCCATGAGTACGTATCATTGCTTTCGGGGACTGTCCTGGTGTAAGTATAAGAACCCCTCCGTTCTCCCGTCTTCAGCCTGCTTCCTTATCAATTTCTCACATCAAAATCACGTATACTCTCCACGTCAGAATCACGCGTACCTCCACATCAAAATGCGTCTCTCCCACCTCGTCCACCTCGCTCTCACGGCCGTCATTGCAGCTAGCCCAGCCGTCGCGCGTCCTCCCTGGGATGAAAGAGGCCCAGATCTCAATAGGGTCCATTTTTGCGTTAGGTACTGCATGGATCATACAGCAGATACCTACAGAATTAGGAGTAAAACAAGAAATCAGTTCTGCTGGAAGGACACTGAGGAAGTTCGCGATTGGATGAGGAACGAGCTCGGCGCGTGTGCTGAAACTGAATGCGCACCGGAAGATAGAAAAGAAGCAAAAGCTTGTATGTTCAGCCTTGCATCTAAACTTTTTTAATTATTCTAACATTCATCCATTAGCTTGGTGGAAGTTCATCAAGGACTACTGCGGGCAAACCGTATAGACAATGTATGGGACCGAATGGGGATATATTTAATCGGTGGATACGCTCCGTAATGAGACGTAAGCGTCAAATGGTCTGAGTAGAGTTGAATGTACTTTTCTTTTGAGGACCGGACCAGGTCGATGCTTGTTAGTCCGTGCTACCCAGTTCTTAAAGTAGCAAAGCAGACTTTTTTAGGATAATAAATGTGTTCCAACTTAAAATTTGCTTCGGAACTTCCAGGCTACGTAACCTATGCAAAGGTAGGCTCAAGAAACATTTATAGTACCCACCATCACAGTGACGATTTGCTCGCCGTCGCCTACTGATTGCAGAGCGCGACCACGTTTCCTTGTCCGTGGCACTTTCGTCAGCAACTCCTTATCAAACGCCGCAGCAAATACATCCGAGCCTCCAGAACCCAGACCTTCGTTCACCCACCCTCTGCGAAGTCAGGCTATCGAGCCTTTCCACTACCAAGCGAACAACTTCCGATGCCCGCTCCATCCCCGGCACGCCACCTCATCTTGTACGTCTTCGGTCTTCGACGCCTCATCGCCATCTACCTCATTGCGACTCTTCGGCGATACCTCGATGCGCAAGGCCTCACAATGGGCTTCCTGGGGCTTTGCGCTCGTACTACATATCCTCTGCAGTTGGCTGGAGCGAGTGTTTGTGATGTGAGTCACAATGAGTGTGAAGTGCTGCGGCGGGCGTTACACGGAATGGACAAGAGAGCAGCGGATTTGTATTTGGATTCGGAAGTATGAGCGCTGCGAAGGACCTGTTTCAGTAAGACTTGTCCGTCACCAATACACGCTTCACAAGCCTTTATGAAAGGATAAACTTTGCCAGTGCGCATACTAAGCAGACAAGCATCTCGACGCATTCCGCCGAAGACATCAGAGTCAAGAAGAAGCAAGTCCGGAATCTCAACCAAAGGTCAAAAATCCTGCTTTACTCCACTCAATCCAATGCTTACCTTTCGTCATTCCCCAGATTACTCCACTGCACCGCAGGCCGCCTTACCCCTCCCGTCCGTCCCACTGATTAGCTAAACTGGACACACCTGCTGCACAGCGATTCTGCAGTGTTTTTCCTTGCTACAAGGCGCGCCAATCCAACTCGATGGAAGCACCTCCGTCGCACCAGAACAATGGTCTCCACACATAGGGCACACCGTCTGTTTCCTCACACCCATACCCGCACCCGGAACTGCATAATGAGCGCTGCATACATTTACTAGAATACCAGCAACCAATGTCCCGGGAATGCACGCGAGTACGAACCCCGCTTTCACGTTCCATCAAGCGCGAGTGCGACCACTCAAGGAGTCAGCAATGCAGACCAGCGAAGCTGTGTAGTGATCCGGAAGATGTCGTGTGTGAATGTCAGGGTTGGATACAGAAGCTCGAAGCAGAAGAAAGCTATAGAGGGGAGGCTTGCGCGTTCACGCAACTTGCAAAAGATAATGGTGCTAATAATCCTTTTTCGAAAATGCACGGTAATGTGTACAATGATCAGGCCGCTTGAAAATGGTGGAAATAAGGCGCAGGCATTTTTTGGGAGGCGTGTCCAGAATTATCCCAAGCCCAAGGTGCGGTTTGTTTCAAACCATTTATATAGTTATATAACTTCAACGACATCCTCAAACGAACTGTGTGTTAAAGCTGAGTCCTTTATGGAACAGTCCGCTCGGCAAGCGATTGCACACTGGAAATTTGCTTTCTGGGTTTGTTCACTTTTGTTTCATCACCTTCGTTTCATCAACAGACAGTCCGGTGTTGGCAGTTCACTTGATCTTGCTATACTATCTGTGATGAATAATATTTTAAAGCCTTGCAAAGAATCCCTTCTAAAAGACTACGTCTCAAAACCTTCTTGCTCGTTTCCCCGGGCCTTGACGGTGTCTTTTCGAAGATAAAACAAAAACATCAACAACAAGAACAAAACAATCAACACACTGGCGGCTAACGGTACCAAGGAGAAACATTATAACATAACGAAGAAAGCCAAAGTAGCAGGCAAGAACAGACAAATGACGAGCAACGAGCTAGCTACCAGCGGATCAAACCAGCGATAAGTGCGAAAGAATAGAAAAGACAATAACGAACAAAGTAGCAAGCAGCAGAATGGCGAGTACTTAAGCAACAAAAGATAGTGATAGCGAAGCGATGGGGAGTGACAAAAGTGACAGAGCAAATGGATAAAGGGCACTGAGAAACGGATGAAGTGGAATTGAGAGCAAGTGAAGAAACAAACAGCAGGGACCTAAAGGACAACACGTACAAAGCCGCGAGAAAAAGTAGAGTAAGAGCTGACAACAAGCATGGTACTGAAAGGACAGAAAGTGCAAGTAACAAGGCTACAGGAAGCAAATTCAAGAATGATTAAAAGACAATTCAAAGAGGACCAGAACGACAAGAATGGAAGTTCAAGGGTACTAAAGAGTGAACAACTTGGAAAGCAAAAGCCCGAAAGGACAATGGGTAAAGGAAAAGAACAAAACAACAGGAGTGTAATTAAAAGAAACAGGAACAACGAAGCCTGTCTAACTGTGCCCTTTAAGTGTAGAGCAAACGGCAAGACATAAGGGCAGAGAAGAAAGCCAATGAAAACAGGCAACAAGCAAAACAAGAAGAGAACAAAGCAAGGCGAGAACGAGGAAACAATGAGCGAAAAGAAGAAGACGACTTCCGTCAAGGCCCTTTTACCGTCCCTCAAGCATACCCCCACCAACCGCTTCATTCCACCGTCCCACACAAGCCTCATCCAAGAAAACAGTACCACATTCTTCATTATCGCCTCCTTGATTTGTCTTGCCTGACGTTTCAACAAACCGGCCGATGCTGTTGTAGTATTCTTTGAGTCTGAGTTGATCTTCCAGACATCAATTTGAGATAGTGTTGAAGTGATGAGTCTTCCTTAGTCACAGACCATGGACAGAACTGCGAGACTCTGTCGATTGAGGAGTCTCGTTGATTAATTCAGGTTGGCAACAAAGCATTGAGCCTTTCAATAGCTTAAAGAGTGACTGTTTTGATGAAATTGAGGAGAAAGCTTTGTCGTCGAGACCCTCTCTGAAGCAATGTTATATGAGAGGAATCGGCGGAAGTCTGGTCCATGTTCATATGAACGGACTTTGCATGTTGCATGTTGTCGAAAAGATGGCTTGGTGGAATTCATATTCCGAAAAGAGAAAGGTTTCAACCTTTGTTCGACATCTGATCAACTTTCCCGATAGCCAGGTGCTGATGTCGTGTGATTTCGAATGAAGACATAGTTTGTAGTGTCATCCATGGCCTGAAGAAGAGTCGGTGCATAGGCCATGACTTCAAATGTTCAAATGGAGTTGTGGCAGCACAATCATTGAGAAGTTGGCCCTGAATACGTATGAAACGCGTATGTCAATTGCCAAAAGTGAGTTTGTCGCCTTGGTAGCCAGAGTCTTTAAGTAAGATGCCGAGAGAGTTCATGGAGTGGTCCCTGGAGCCTAGATCTGCTCCGCATCTTTGGCGGGACAGCATATGGCTTTGAGACTGGATCTCCAACTTCGACTTTGTTGCGATGAAGGTAGTGCAATGAGAGCATGAGAAGTCGACCGTGAAGAACGCCAATGTCGAAAATCAAAAGGTGGTTTCCCTTGAGGCCATTGATGACGGAGATGCATGACCGTAGAAGACGAGAGAGAATATGAGCCTCATGTTGTAGCTCATGCCGTCACCAGAGCAATTGTGTTCATGCGCCTGCGTATGAAGCTCCGGAGGTTTCTGTCTGTTCCCCAAGAGAGCAACTTTGAGAGCGAAGAGTGGATATGCCTTAGCGATTGTTGGTCGCTAGCATTTTCTGCAGGTGCCAGTTATTGTCGCCAATTCTGGCCAGAACGGCTTGCTTAATACACGATTGAGCACATGGCCACCTTTGACTGCGGATAATTAGCATTCGGAACGTGTCGTTGAACACAAAGTCAAGCTGCTTGCACATACCTTTAGAAAGATGTTTGAATGAGAGAAGACTTTTTGTGAGTGTTCCTCTGCATGTATGGCGAGGCATATGACAATGAAACCACTCATTGATTGGATTTAATTTTGTCTTGAACAGATGGCTGGGTCTTTTGTTGGATACCGGGAGCCAATCCATGCCTTGAGAGTCGGCAATTGAGCTGATGTTGTTGAAGGCACGCTTTTCATCGGCGGCGATGCCTTTGTGGAGCTGAAAGATTTGTGCCAGTAGAAATGGCAACTTCGTTCCCTTGGATGATTATTATTGATTTGGCCTGGACGAAGGCGAAGGGTTTTTGACGAGCGACGGAGTGTACGTCTCGTAGTTGGTTTTGTGCCTCAAAAGATGGCAACGGTCGTTTATTTCGATAAGCTGTGTCGTGCCTAACAAAGAAAAGAGTTGGAACACGTTGAAGTTCGCTTCGGATAGACCGCAGATGGCGAACTTGATGTCGGACTGCTTGAGTGTAAAGTCTGTTGATGGCAAATCTTAAGTGTGGTTCGGATCATTCTTGCCAGGATGAAAGGCGAAGAAGACTTGGACAAGTTGAAATCCTAGTCAAATTGACAGCGAACCTTGTGTCGAATTGACGTCTTGTGCCAGAGAGTGGATGGCAACTCCTTTGTTGTTTGTTTGTTTGTTTAAATGGTTCATGCCTGGACAGTGGCTAGAACGCAATGATGCTTGCTTCGGATGAACAGCGAAATGTATGTCAATTTGACGATTTCATGCAAGCGCTCTTTGCCTTTCCCAAGGGCAGAAGAGCAGTTTGTGTGTGTAGAATGTACGCATAGTTGAACGAAACCTTTTTTGGCTGAAGTTTTGCCGAATTTGGCTGAGATTTTGCCGAAGTTCTTTGCCTTTCCCAAGGGCAAAAGAACTGAAGTAAGTGTTGAAGACCCGTGCAGTTGAGCGAAGCCTTACTGAAGTTTGTTTGACTGAAGCTTGCCGAAGTTTTTTGCCTTTCCCAAGGGCAAAGAACCGAATCGCGTGTGTGAGTGTGAGTGTGTATGTGTGTTGAAGGCCGGTGTAGTTGGACGAAGCCTTGTTTGATGAAGTTTATTTGGCTGAAATTTTGCCTGTCTTCTTTGCCTTTCCCAAGGGCAGAAGAACTGAAGTAAGTGTTGAAGACCCGTATAGTTGAACGAAACCTTGTAATGTTTGTTTGGTTGAAGTTTGCTGAAGTTCTTTGCCTTTCCCAAGGGCAAAAGAACCGAGATTTGTGTGTTTGTGTGTGACTTGAAGGCCCGTGTAGTTGAAAACGAGACCTCGTTGAAGATTTGCCAAAGCTCTTTGCCTTTCCCAAGGGCAAGAACCGAAAAGTTTTTCCAAGGTACGCATAGTTGAACGAAGCCTTGATCATTGAGTTTTGTCGAGACCGTTACCTTTCCCAAGGGCAAGATCCAAAATGTGTGTCGAAGGCACGTGTAGTTAAACGAAGCCTGGTTGACTGAAGTTTTGTCGAGGTCCTTTGCCTTTCCCAAGGGTGAGAAACGTTGTTTGTAAGGCACGCATAATTAAGCGAAACCTTGTTGACTGAGTGTTGTCAAGATCAATTGCCTTTCCCAAGGGCAAGATCCGCGATGTTTGTGTCGAAGGCACTTGTAGTGGAAAGAAGCCTTGTTGACTGATTTTTTGCCAGAGTAGATGGCAACCCTGAAGTTGTTTGATTGATTAGACCGTTCATCGCCTTTCCCAGGGGTCGAAGAACTGGTCTGAGTTGTGTCAAAGGCATGCGAAAGAGTGAGTGCGAAACCTTGCTGACTGACTTTTTGCCGAAGATGATGGCAATCCCCATGTGATGTTTTGGATTTAGGACCGTCCTTTGCCTTTCCCAAGGGCTAAAGAACTGGTCGGTGTTGAAGGTACGCATAAGCTTGACAGCGAAACCTTGCAGATGTTGTAATTTGTGGTTTTTGATTTTGGCAGTACCAATCTTTGCCTTTCCCAAGGGCTCAGAATCGGAATGTGTTGAAGGCACGCGTATGTTGACAGCGAAGTCTTGTTGTGTGTGTTGTGATGCATGCCGTGAAGTGATGGCAACCCCCAGTTTGGTTTGATTGAATTGCTCCTTGTCTGGACGAAAGACGAAAGATTGGAACAAGTCGAAGGCACGCGTAAGTTGACGGCGAGGCCTTGTTGTGAGAGATGTGAATTTGCCTTGTAGTGATGGCAACCCCCGATTGTGAGAATGCTGAACCCTTGCTGTAGAGATGGCGAAAGGTTTGCTGATTGACTTGATGTTCTGCCTGGACAGATGGCAACTCCATGCGCGAGCAGGTTGATTGGAGTGCCAAGGCAGATGTTGAGCATGAGACCGTAAGGTGATGAAGGTCTTGCTGAACTGATGAATGAACTTTTGCCGAGAGATGATGGCATAGTTCTAGCTTGCTTGGCTTCGACCAGGACAAGGTGTAGTCGATTGGTTGTTGACTGGATGAAGTTTGAAGTCTTTTGTCCTGGGAATTGTCTCCCCAACGCCCCGTAGAGGCGCAAGCTGTGTTGGGGTAAGTTAGGGTCTCCGGAGAGTTCGTCATGCAGGCCACAGATGTTTGCGGTCCCCCCTGCTTAGTATGACTTCCTAACTTGACCATGATCCAGGCTTCGGATGCACTACGCCTGAGGAGTCATGGATCCTTTTTTAACGATGCCTTGCATCCATGAAGGCACCGGGGGAAATGAAGAAGTTGTCCGTCTTCTTCAGGGGGGGGGGTAATCTCTAAGTCGTCCGCACAGAGGGGGGGAGAGGTACGTCCATCTAGACGTCCTCGGAGGAGGAGGTGTGGCGGCGGCGGGGGAGCGGAACGGGAGCCAGCTCGAAGCCACTGGTGCGGTGCTGGCTGGAGGAGCGAAGAGTGCGAGGAGGGGTCGGCATGATGGGACCTAACTCAGCTAGGGCGGCCTCCTGCTCATCGAGCTCCTTCCGGATGTCCAAGACCCATTGGGCCCAACCCTGGTTCTGCTCGAGAAGGCGTCCAATGGGAGGGTCACGCCAAAGGAGCAGCCATTCTCTTACAGGACCCATGTTCATACAGATGTTCTCACGCCATCCGCAATCCCATGGGCGCCTTGCCGGGTTGGGACCCACCTGTCGCTGAGTCCGGCCACTGGTGCTCGACACAGACAGCCAAACGCCATGCTCTTCTGCCGATCGGACGTTGTCGACAGCGATAAACTTCCACAGAGGCCAGATTAAGGCAAAGCCCGCAAAGATCATCGCAATGGCTGCGAAACCCATGAGGGCCACGTAGGCGTAATCCTGGGGAGTTCTTCTCTCCGACACGAGGGACAGGCCCGCAACGACCGTCAAGACCACGTGACCAGGGAGGAACATCAGGCCCAGTAAGTACGCCTTCTGGCTACTGAGGAAGATCGCGCCGGGGAAGAACTCACACGTGTGTTCATACACGTGGAGGCAACGACCGATCCAGCCGACATGGCGGGCTCTGTTCGGCATCCAGATGCGGCAGACCTCGCACCATCTGCGTTCGCCGCTCTGCGTCCCGAGCTGAAGTATACCGGGGGGAGGGTCTGCGGATGCCAGCCGCTTGCCCCAGCGAGCCCGAGTGGTGCCGACCAACACCATCCAATACCAAGGAACCGCAAAAAGCAGCTCCAGACCGAGAGTGAAGATGATAAGGGCAGAGCCCTTCGCGAAAGCGCCGGGGGGACAATTGAAGAGCCGGCCGGGGGAGACGCAATCTCTAAGGAGCCGCTGCCAGGCCCAGCGGTATACTAAGAAGTACAAGGCCCCAGAGGCCTGCACGAGAGCGAGGGAGGGCACGACGACCCAGGCGCCGAAGCAAGCGAGGAGGACGACGAGAGCGCGGGCGACAACGGCAAAGCCGGAAGCACGGGTAGGCGGGGAGGAATCCATGGCGTTGGCGTTTTTGTGGGCGTCGTCGTCGGGGGTTGGTGGGGGAGGTCTGGGAGATGGAGAGGAGTCGAAGTGAAGCGGCCTTGAGACTACGACGGGAGACACTGACAGTCTGGAAGGAGCGTGGCAGACAATGTGACGTCACAACAACTGATGGGCTCTGCATACCTCCCCAACATGCGAACAACTCTTTCCATGTGAATACCGCCCTGTCTGGCCTCACCAGTTCAACCTTTCCAAACTCAATCATTGGGCCGCCATCGTACTTTCCACGAAGCTTCTACTTCTGCTCTTCCGGCACACGCAAGTGCCAAAGGTCCAACACGATCGGTCAGGGCTCTAGGTGGATGCACAGGACATGTAGCGTAGTCAGCAAGCTAGAAATCAACAGGAAACGCATCCAAATCTCCGCCATTCCTCAGAAGCCAAAGCGACCAGATCACCACCAACACTCCAGCAAGTTCACAAGTCCTACCCATACCGCCTCCTCTCTGCCTCTGCACCCCAAACAGCACACGCCCGATCCAGCCTCCCCCAGAGCACGTGCAGCGCGAGCATAGCGCCGTAATACGTCCACTGTGCGCCCCGGCCGTGCGCATCGAGGATGCAGCCCAGTGCCACGACGAGATAGACAGCGAGGGGGGCGTCGAGGAAGCACATGTGCGCGGAGAAAGAGAGATGAGTGTAGGGTGATGTTGTGGGGGTAAGATGGAGTGGAGTTGGAGGTGTCGGGACAGCTCGAGAGTGTCTTTTCGTGGCGGAATATGAATGCCTTCGTGGGCTTGCTGGCCAGGTGGCTCGGTCGAGAGACTGATGGTATAGGCTGGCTCGTCGTGCTCGGGTTGTGTGGTAGTGGCGCTGTTGTTGTCGCTGTCGCTGTTGAGAGTGAAGTCAAAGAAACGCGCTCCACGCTTCGTATGCGACACTGCAGACAAAGCGAAGAAGGCCAGCCTTTGTCTTCAACCCTCTCATAGGACCTCGCATTCCAGAGTGGACTCTTTTTAGCTTCTTACTGCATTATGTAAAGACTTGAAAGGAAAAACAGACCGAGAGTAGAGACCGGCAGTCTGGACAATGGGGGCGCGGTGAAGGGAGTTGAATGAACTAAAACAAAATGCAGAAGATTTCGATGTAGGCTGCAAAACGAGATCCATCCTGCATCTACAAAACCATTGTGCTTTCAGTGAGCAGGTAGTGCAGTAGAAAAGCAAACGCGATGCATCTCACGATTCGTCGTTGTGCCTCTCCGGGTAGGCCATCCGCAGCCATCTCGTATCGCGACGTCGAACGCCGCAGCGGCCCGTCCCGCAACAACCTGCAGCCTGCAGTAGCTCTTTTCCGCAATTACTATCTGCACCTCCCTGCGCACACCTTAACCACCATCCTCCACCCAATCCGCCGTCTTCCAGTGCCGAAATAGGCCGTTGCGATGACTTTGCCCATGACGCTTGGCAGAGTCCCGACGCCGGCAGCATCGGCATCCCGGCGGCGCCGGCCTGTCGGGCCACCTCGAGGTCCCAATGCTCGTAAGGCAGCTGGACAATGCGCACATTGCGACCGGCGGGTCCCGAGTCGGAGTTGGGGGCCGGTATCGTGCTGTGGTGTGCCAAAGCGATGGAACGCTTGCAACTTGACGAGTCCGCGACAGCGGCACCGATCGCAACCCCATTGCGACGATGAGCTGGGGGCCAATAACGTCACCGCATCTGTATCTTGGCCGTCACGAGAGCGATGAGTCCGTCCAGTCGGTGTGCCCGAAAATCTCGAAAAGAGGCATGATGGACGAATCAGGGCCTCATGACCTGCAACGCAGTTACGCGTCGGACGAGAGGCTGCGCCGGGACTCGTATCTCCGGACTGGCAGCAGGGCAGCCACGGCGCCAAGGCTCGTCTGATGTTCCTGATGCAGTTAGTTAAGCGCCAACGCAACGGTCGCTTTTGCTCTACGGAGACTAGTTTGCCTTGCACGGGCCTCTCGATCGGCTGCTGCGGACCATGAGTTCATTCTTTTAACCAAGTCAATTAATATCAGGGAAGCAGGGTGGCAGGCTTACATCAGGCCGCTGATAAACTGGTCAACATGCTTTCCGACCCCAGATCCCATCCTTCACCTTTCCTCCTCCAAGCCAGACAGCATGTCTCTCAGTTATGTTGTCTCAGAACAGCCCCAGCTTGAAGCAGGGGCGTCCCCTGAAAGTGATGACACCTTCAGCCCTCTTGAACGGCTCCCATACGAACTGCAAGATATCATTATCGGCTTCCTCGAAGTACCCGCGATCATCCGCATGCGATGCGCATCCAAATTCTGGCGGTCCCGGATCGATGTCAGCGAAAGCAGGCCGCACATCATCTGCCAGGAGCGTCGGTCTCTTGTTTGTCTCTACTACGATATCATTTCCAAGCCATGGTTTCAGGCGTCGAGGGAAAACATCATTCCACGGTTAGGTCCTTCAGAAGCGGAAGCGAGGCGTCAGCTCCTCGATCGGATATCCACGGAGCACGTGTCGGAGTTTGAAGTTTGGCTGCGAGAATGGCCTGCCAAAGCAGTCATCGGTCGAATTTGGCCTTGGATTTCGCAGGACAAGGACTCTTCCAATAAAGACTGGTGGTGGACAGTGGGCGACAACTTCTCTTTAGGATGGCATATGCCGTTGCCTATACATGATCAGCGACGTGATCCTTGTTACATCATGGTCGACTCTCGAAGTAATTTGGACTCACGATGTCACACCGACCAAGGCCAACTAAGAACAGAAGGATGGGGTTCTCCCAAGCTTGACGATCCGGAGCTTAGACAAACGCACTTCAGCCCAGAAACTCTTACCATATATCAACGACAAGACTCAAACGGATATTACTCTGATACACTCATACTGAGCGGCGGTGGTCCTTTCAACGGTACAATCCACCAGGGTGTGAGCAAGGGGAAGATCTTCTTAGGAGCCAACGATGAGCAATCTGACAGGAGCAGATGCTCTAGCAGTTGGGTGGATTACCTCAGAGAAAAATGCACGAAGATCGAAAGCGAGTACAACAAGGTCCAACGAATGAACGAAATGATGGCGAAGTGGATGAAGAGCTCGCAGGCGGGCCAAACGTCTTGGGCACGGAGTTCTTGAGTATAATGAGAGTTTAATGTTGTTTGTAAAGTTAGCTTCGTTCAGTTAAATCGGATACCCATTTTTTCGCAATGCAATAGGTGGGTGGATGGAAATCCTCGGGCTCATCTTTCTGCGCAAGCTGCAGCGGACCACTTCCGTCCGCAATGTGGGTTGTAGCCTACTTCGTTCAACGAGCACAATCGAAGCTGAAGCCTCGAGCCGTCGAGGCATGAATACCCCAGAAGTGTCTCCAGCGCATCGAGAAAGTAAGGGGTAGGGAGGGCAGATGGGTTTTAAGCTCCGAAGGCCAAGTTGCTGGGTTTGTGAGGTGCCGCGGAAGTTCTGGACCTGTGATTGTGTTTCTGGTGTTGAGTCGGGCTACTCTGGCGCCAACAGCGACGCGTTTGGAGAAGGCATAACGTATGCCTCATGTCCGTCTGCACGGGGCGTGTTGAAGAGAGGATAGATGTCGGAGAGGCAGGATGGATTCTAATGTGGAGACTTTCATTGAGGTGGAGATTTGTTAGCAGAGCGCCAAGAGGTCACAGAAGGGTGGAGAGAGTTCTTGGTTGGAGCACTGGAAGCATCCTCGCATACCCGTTGTTTCATTCCATTCGTGCTTACGAGCTGACGTCTCATCGTGGAAGTTGGATGGCTCGCATGTTGGCATGCTTGCGGGGGTTTCCGAGCAAAATCGCGTGTTCTGGTGGAGGAGACGGGACTCGCGAATTGGTCTGGTGATGTCAGAAACGCGAAAAGTTGTGGAAACCGAGAGATTTCGCCCGGCGAAGGCCGCCCGCATCGCCATCACCAGCGACCCTGCCCCGCCACACTCCCAACCTCCCTCACTCAATACCAACAAGCAAAAACGCACACACTCCATCCACGACACGCACCCCTACCCATCCTTGCCTCCTTCGGCCAAGCCCACGACCCGATTTCAATACCACAACCGCGCCGCCACACCCGTCGCGCCAGTCCCAGACAGGAAGGCCAAAAAGAGCGGGGGAGAGCGGCACACCGATCACAAGGAAAGCTAGCAGCGCCGGCGGGCGATCGAAATGCCTAGCCAGGGAAGAGCGCCGAGGGAAGGGCCGAGCGGGTCGCGTCATTGGATGGAGGTTTGACGGGACGGGCGTGGATGGATAGATGGATGTCTGGTATGCTGATGATGGTGCTGTTGCTGCGGCCAGGGCGGGATTGGGTTCGCTCTGTGAAGTATGAGGGAAAGCCACGGCTACTCGGTGCAGAATAACCGTGGGCGATGAGGGGATGGTGTGAGGGTTCTCCGGATGCTGGGTACGGCATACGCAGCCTTGCTGGCTCGCTCGCTCACGCCATAGCCGCGCCGCATCCGCATCACTGGAGCCCAGCCACACCTAACGGCACTACAAGCATCCACCATCTCTACACTCGCACCCCATGAAGTCTCTGCTTTTCGTATCCATGCATTTCGCGGTTCGGATACCCGCAAATCCACAACACGTATACCCGCGATTGCTTTCGAGACACGCGATGTCAACCCCAGCGAAGCCGAAGAACCACTGGGCTGTGGCACGAATAGAATGTCCCCGCAACCCACCAGATCTACTCATATCTTGACGACGCAACTACTTTCAACTACAACAGCTACAGCAGAGACATAAAAAATCGGCCACCGCGTACCCCCAGCTCTCCTTCAATGGTCATCGCGGCACCAAGGCTTGTCCAGTGCATCTACCTTCCATCCGGTCCCAACGGCCCCAGAATACGGTCGCACCACCTCCGATCCCGACCCCGACTCTTTCCCGTTTCCAGACTCTCAATCAGCCGCATCCGGCCCCACGGTCCTGTCAAGAAGCCAGCGGCTGACATAAGAAACAGCATCGGGAGCAGTAGCACTGCTGCTGTAGCAGTGCGCCAGCCTAAGCTCGTTCGATTGTGCGCCAGCCTAAGCTCGTTCGGTTGTGCGCTTACATCCGCACCCCAACGGTAGAGACTGATGATCGTGATGTTGCTGACAATCATAAGTGAATAACGGCACTAACATTCATCATCCTATGATGACGTTGACAATCATACATCCACTACTCGCTTCTTGGGCTCCAGCGTGGCGAATCCATGAAACAGAGTCTCGAGTACGTGTCATGGCTTTCCTGCTCTGGTGTACGTATAAAAACCCTCCATTCTCCCGATCTCAGCCAACTTCCTTACAAGTTTCTCACATCACAATCACGCATACCCTCCACATCAAAATGCGTCTCTCGCACCTCGTCCTCGCGACCGTTGTTGTTGCGGCTAGCCCAGCCGTCGCCCGCCCTCCCTGGGATGAGAGAGGCCCAGATCTCAACAGACTCCATTGGTGCGTTAGGTACTGCATGGATGATACTGCAGAGACGTATAGGATCAGGACTAAGTCACGGAATCAATTCTGCTGGAAGGATACCGAGAGAGTTCGCACCTGGATGTACAACGAACTCGGCCATTGTATTGAGAAAGAGTGCCCAGCCAAAGCCGACCTAAAAGAAGCCAAAAAATGTATGTTTAACCCTTGAAACAACAGTAACTGCGCTAATATTTATTAGCGATCTGGAAGTTTATTTGGGACTACGGCGGACAAACAATTTGAGTTATGGGACGATATAGGAAACATTAATCGGCGGGCAAGTTCCCTGGAGAGAGAGCTGTAGCCATCATGTGCAATTTCCGGCGCCTTCCAATGTATTAATAAAATCTCTTAGAACTCTATTCGTTAAGTCTTAGTATTGATGATCAAACAACCGTCAGGTACCACAGGTGCTTGTCGACTTAGCCATTCCGTTTATCTGAAAACCATACTCTCCATGGCCTCACTCGGCGAGCCACAGCCACGAAAAGCATCCGCGCACATCGCTATCATTTTCTGAGACATGGTAGTCAGCGAGCGGGATCATGCATCATCCCGCCAAAAGCGAATTTTTTTTCATTTGCGCACCGTCTTTTACCTGCCCAGCTTCTTGCACTCCTTCCTTGCTCATCTTCGCCGTCCACTTTCATGTTGCATCGATTTTGCACCTGTCCATAGAACACAACCAACGACATGGCCTTTGGGACCCTTCTCACCCATGGGCCCTCCACTAAAGGCCAGGGCAGCTGTCGGCTAGCGGAGGAGAGTGTCAAGCATCGGAAGCCGGATCATGTCGACACAGATAGCGTTGGCGATGGCACTGCTGCCAGACCATGCAAGAGAGGTAGGCCGCACCGGCAGACAGCGGCCATGGCCCTGCCTCACAAACACAATAAGCGCAAGGGAGTCCGCATCAGCAGCAACAAACACGTTGGTCAGTCACGCACCAACCACATCGGCCTGTCGATTGCCAAAGACAGTGCTGCCAGCACCAAAGCATCGCGTAAATCTACAGTTGCCAGTATTGATGAGACGGCCGCCCGCCTTGGCAAAGTCGTGAAGCAACCCGTTCGTAGAATGAGCGGCCTCCCTGACATGTCGTCCGGGCATCCGGCGAACATTACCGACATGACAGTTCAAGCCATGGCGGAGCTCGGGGACGCGATCTCTGAAGCTTAAAGGGACTATGTTGCTGAAAAATACGTCAAGCAGGGGTGGGTATGTACACTGAGCCATGCGAAAAGGCGCTGCTGACGAAGATGAAGTCCGGAGCGCTGTAGTGAGGGGCTGGAGAAGTCAGACGAGGGGAAATTGGCCTTTGGCTTCTCGGAGCTCCTAAGCTGGAAAGAAATGAGTAGCAACTTCAGTGAAGCAAAACGAGGTTTTGGTACTCGGCTCGCCCCAGAGGTCCAATGTAGTGTCTAATACCCTTAGCTATCCAAGATCGACATCAATGTTTCCCGCATACAACGACTCACGAGCCAGAATATAACCCTTCAGAAGGTGTCGGCAGAGGTACCAGTGCGTGAGAGTCGGAAAGCGTATTGGCGGAGATTCGTGTGGATGGACAGGGCGGCTTTGCATGCAGTATGGAGGGTGTTTCGTGATGGAACGAGGTGTTGTCTTTAGAGGGCACCGGTAGAGACGCGTGGAGAACGTTGTATCTGGCAGGTATTGGCTGAGGTGAGTGTGGACGGGGGAGAATTCCAACAGGCTATCTGATGAGTCGAGCGGCCTGTCTGAAGAAAGCCAGGATCGTGGTGGAGCGAGGAGCGAGACCTGGCCTACAAAGACGATGCCAGAGATGGAGAGATGATGTGTGATGCGGAAGGACTGTACTCCTAGCTCGGGACGCATCGCCAAAAACCAAGCGGCGATCAGCGGGGTAATTTCTTCGATGATGCAACCCCAAACAAAACAACAACCTCTCGCTCCATCACCACGACCACAGCACAATGCCCTGGAAGTCATCATAAACTGCAGAGCTCGCAATGGGTGTTCTTACCCTCGATCGCTTCGGTTGAAACTTCCTCAGAACTCCTGCGCATCTTCTACGATTTGCGCTGACGTCCACACACCCCACCGGCTTGGTCTTGCCGCCGTTCTGCCTACCTCTCCATACCTCGATTGCATCTGGCACCCACCTTCTCCCGACCGTGTTCCGTCGGGCCTCTCAAGTCTTCTTGCAGAGTAGCAAGCCGCCGTCCATCACACCACACACTTGCCAGACGCCACTCCGTTCCGCACACACACACCTGGCCGTATGCACAGGCAACGACTTGGCACGGGATGCCATGGTGGTAGACAAGCGCGTTTGGAGTCACAGTGTTTAAGAGAGTCGCGGCCGCATCAATCCGCAGCGCAGGCTCGATCCGCGCTTTCGCGACAGGCTGAACATCATGCATGGGAAGAGGGCGCGTGGTACTTCCTCCGTTCTGCCTCCCAGAGAACGTGATAACTCTTGTCGATGGCAGGTAGCAGCAATGCGGTGACGAACGGCATCATCGCGACACCGACCATTTGCACGTACGGGGTGCTTGCGCGCAATTCCATTGACCTACCTACTACGTCTTAGTCCGTAATCGAGATTGCTGTTCCTCGATGAACCCTGCAACCTTGGACGGCCATCCCAGTAAACACGACACGCCCAAAAGCTTCGCACAATTGCATCACACGATGCAGCAGCCGCCGACGCGCCACTATACCGGAAAAGGAAGGTTGATCAGCGAAGGCGACAGAACCAGGTACGATGGCGCGAAAGGGGCTGTGGCGGCGAAAGCCGTGGTTCGCCAACCGGAGCCCAGCGATCAGCCTTGCTGTCTGACCATGTCCAGCTACGCCCACTATCGCGACCCCATGCAGTGTTGCACTCGAGTAGGAGACTGCTGAGCTTGGCATGACGGCATACCTGGTTTCTGGGCGATTCGTTTCGCTGCTTGTCGAGTGAGAGGCGACTGCGGATCCAACACCGTTCACTGGCCGGGCGGCTTCGCGCGTTGGAGAACCACCAGAGACGAGACTTAAGGGAGTGCCTTCATTGTTTCGTGCAGGATTTCGCCATTGGCGGCGTCATCGTTTCTGTTGGCACTTTGCGGTAGATTGGTGGTTGAGCTCCGCAAATCTTTCGCTGGAGTTGGCTTTTCGTAATTGGTGCAGTCAAACAGCTTACCTTTGACCAGAGCCGCGCTCCGGCGCTAGATTGACGTTGACTGATTCATTCGTCTAGACTTGCCACGGCGCAGAAGACCAGACGATCATTCCGGGATTGCGGAGACAGGGCCGGACAAACGAGGTTCGCTAGGTAGGTATGTCAGCCAAACGGAAACGATGCCAGTCCATGTCCACCATAGCTCCTCTCATTTGTCCGTCGAGACCAAACCACGCTCTATTATTGCTTCAGCAGCACGCACGCACCCGCTCATCACGCATCCCCGTTCCTTCGATCGGCAAGGCACCGGGCCATATTTCGGTTGCTCAAACGCTGCCGCAACGGCACCATATCCGCTGAGGTCAGATGAAGGAGCCAGCAAGCAAACCAACCCAACTGGCGCCAGAGCAAACGCGCGAACGAACTAGGTATCCCGTTGTATGCACGCGTCCTGCTCTGTGCTACACGGCGGTCGAGGCGAGCGTCACAGTGCGGGTCGTGTTGGTGGGCGGTCATGAGGGCGCCGTAGGGATGGTAGAGGGTGTCGGTCTCACTTTGGAGGTCTGCACAACTGTTGTTTGTTTTTGCCATGGTGTTCAGGCAGCTGTGTCGGCCAGAAATGCAGGAGGTGGCGGTGGCGGCTCCTCCGTCATTCATGCATGCATGCTGGAGGTCGCACAGGTGCACGCACCTCTCCACCTCTCTTCTCTCATCCCACATGCATGCCAACGGGCGACGGGAGCGCAATATACAAGCGGGCAGCAGCGGCACGGCTAGCGGGTTTGAGAGCGGGCATTTGCCATGCGTTAGGCGAAAGAGAGGGTGTGAGGGCAAGGAGGAGAGGGCGTTTGTTGGTTGTTTGATTGATGAGAGGGAGCATAGGTGCGCGGTGGTGTTCATCGGTAGGAGAAGGTAGGTATAGACATCCTTTTCCTGCGCGCATCTCTTAACAAGTCTGTCTGTGGTTTCCGAGCTGAAGCTCTCCTTCACCATCCACTACACATCTCTCTCCACCACCCCGCAATGTCCGCCCCACCCAACCACCGCAAACGCCGCGCCTCGCTACCGCCAGACACGCAGCCGCTGAAGCACCAGCGCCCCGCGACCGCTGCCCCCGGCCTGCAAAGCGAGCAACGCCGTGCGTAGACTCCTCCCCCACGTTTTTCGGGAGCTAGGCACTCACACTTACCTACCCACCGCAGACCTCGCCGTCACGATAACCGTCCGCGTGGACGCCGGCGACGACGACTTCCTCCGCGCCATCAAGCGGGGCGACGCGTTCGTGCTTAAGGCGAAAAATGGTACGTATGTCCAATGTCTTCACTCCTATGCTCAGCTACGCCCAGACCAGACGAACGAAGAAGTGCTGATACACCCGCCCCACACAGCGTCCACCCCCTGGCGCGCCGAGATCCTCGCATTCACTCCCAGCGCGCGTCCCACTCCCCCGCAGACAGCACCCCGCGCCCTCGCTCACAATATCGCCATCAAAACCACCACCTCTCCACGCAGCCCCAAAGCACCGCCATCAGACGCAGACGCACCCGCTGCCTCTGCCGCCGACAAGGAAACCACAGAGGAGGCGCCCCTCTCGACCGCCGACGCAGCGGCCGTGCTCGCGCGGCTGAGGACGGAGGTGCGCGCGCGTGGGTGTGAGACTTCCTCTTCCTCTTCTTCTTCTTCTTCTTCTTCTTCTTCTTCTTCTTCTTC